CTTCTTACATTTTCCTTCTATATCATCCGCACATGTTGTTCCCCTTATGTATTATTGGCTTACTCACCGCCGCAATAATCACATTCGCCTCATCCCGCACATCCTGCCAGCTCATTTGCTGTCCACGTTCCACATGCTCTCGCACCTGTTCAATAAATATCGACTTTGACTTGATGCGCTGTTGTTGTTCCTGCTGTCGTTGTTGCTGATGCTGCTGTTGCTGCTCCAGGTGCTTGTTCGCATCGGAGCCTTCCACGCCCACTACAGAAACGGCTGGCTGCAGCAGCTGTGGCGTTTGACGAGGAACACATGGAAGTCAGAGCAAGTCAGTAAAAAGGGGGCGGGCAACGCCCACTAACATACCTGCTCCACAAAACCAAACAGCACGCCAACGACCTTCTGTTGCCGGTCAAAAAGTCGCGACCATCGATAGATGAGCTCCGGGTAAAGCCAGGGCGAGAGCATCCGCTTGACACACACCTCCGTTATCCTGCAAACAAAACGAAAACGAACATAGTGGAAATCTACAAGTACACTTAGAGAAAAACTATGGCTTGTGTAGTTAAATCAATCACAAAACTGATCAAAATCTAGCCGAGGTGGAAATTAACTTATGGGAAACTAAATTATTATCTTTAGAACTCTTTTGAAAAACAAGAAATTCCAAAATTCAAATTAATCTATAAAATCTTATGTAAACTCTTATGATTTTACTTAATTATGATATTACTTAATGCCTTCTTCTTTCGATTTTAGTAACTTATAAAATTAAATTTCCAGTTCTAAAATGATTTTACAATTTAATTGATATTTTATGAAAAAAATACAATTAATTTTAGCTCTATTATAATATATTAAATAAATATAGCTAAATTAAAAATTAATACTCGTTTTTTCTCTGAGTGTTCCCGTGGGTATTTGGCCGCCACCCGCCACCCGCCGCCCGCTGGCCCCCTCCACGTACAGAGAGCGCCAGCTCGTGTCGCAAGGTATTAGCCCTGGCTGAATGGCTAGAGAAGCTGGAGGTTTGTAATTAGCTAATAGGTAAAAACAAATGGGCTGGGTCGACCCAGCCAGATGGTATCTCTGGCATAAACAAGCCAGCAGTCACAGTGAAACAGATTTGAAGCGCAATCGTGCGTAGAATCGGACGCATAAGAAGCTTATAAAATGAGTTCGCTTTACTTAAACGAGGTATTTTTAGAGCTGGCTCTTCTGTCTTAATTTCTTATTAAACACTTAGTTATTTATTTATGCAAGCCCCTAAATGTGTATATTCTAGGCATAAACAGCGAGTGGTTACAGGCATGTCCAACTGTCTATTTCCAGCTCCTCTTATCTTTTTCGTATGACTCACCCATTGTATGCCTCAAAGATGGCCTGGGAGCCATCGTGCTGAAAGTTCATCCTCTTGCCCATAGTTGTCTCTGTGCCAAAAAGAAATGCACACATAATCCGCAAAGGTTCTCCAGCATTCACTTAATACTTACGGCAGGCAGCCTCCAGCACGATTTTCTTGAGTATTTGATAGATTTCGAGGCTTTTACCGCGCTGCACGCCCTCCAGGTCCAGCTTCTCCAGCAACACCTCCGCCTCGGCATTGAAAATGGGCAGAAAGTTGCACAGAATCTGGCGACCGAAGGCGGGATTGATGAGGCGACGATGTTTTTGCCAGCGTGGCGCTAGGATATAAGCACACAGCGTTTATAAAGAGGTATATGTTTAAGATCTTATATATGCGTTGAGAAATATTAAGAAATTTTTACAAATGTGTAAATCTAGTCAAAATTTACTTTAGCTGAGAATAAATTGCTTAATTCAAGAACTTATCTCAATCCCGAAATTTCTAAAGTCATAACTTTAATGCAGTACTCAATCTAAGAAATGCTGTACCTTTTTTGAGAATTTTTACACTTTTTTAAGTCTGTAACTCCTTCAATAGTATGTTTTCTACTTAAAGCAACTAAGAATGTAGTCAAAATCTAGTCAACATTTACTTAAACTGAGAATAAATTCCTTTATTCAAGAACTTATCTTAATCCCTAAATTTCTAAAGACAATAATCTAAGAAATACTGTACCTTTTTTGAGAATTGTTTACCTTATTTTAAGTCTGTAACTCCTTTAATAGTATGATTTTTACTTTAAGAAACGAAAAATTTAGTAAAAATCTAGTCAAAATTTACTTAAGCTGAGAATAAATTGCTTAATTCAAGAACTTATCTCAAACCCGAAATTTCTAAAGTCAAAACTTAAATACAGTACTCAATCTAAGAAATGCTGTACCTTTTTTAAGCATTTTTGAACTTATTTTAAGTCTGTAACTCCTTAAATAGTATATATTTTTTACTAAATCAACTAAGAATGTAGACAAAATATAGTCAAAATTTACTTAAGCTGAGAATAAAATTCTTAATTCCAAATTGCCTAGAAATTCATTAAGACAGGACTTAAATACAGTACTCAATCTAAGAAAAGTTGTACTGAATTTAAGAATATTTCAGAACGAAAGAAGATTAATGTAGTAGTTTTTGGAATAACCCCGTTTCTCTGAGTGTACTTACAGCTGGATGTGAAGAGTCCATCGCCAATGGCCGAGCTCATGAAGCGATAGAAATCGCCCTTGTTGGTGCAGTGCGTTGAATTGAAGATTTGCTCGACGGTTTGTGGGTCGTTGACATAGAGGAAACAATTGGTGCCCATCCAGGAGATGAAGGGCGCCTTATACTTGTGCGAGAGCCCGTCCATATACTGCAGAAAGGCTGCAGGCGAGAGTTATTTCCAGTTGGCATAGATATCCGGCGCACTTACTCTGCGGATTCATCATTTGCAGTCCCATGCCAATGAAGGGCCAGCCCACGGGGCCAGGCAGCTGCCAGGCGGCCCTGTAGTAGCGTCTGCGGCTCCACAGAAAGTATAGCCACAACAAAGTCAGCCAGCTGGCCAGAATGATGCAGGCCAGCATGTCGTTGAACTGTTAAGAGTCCCAAATCGAATCGAATCGAATCGAATCGTATCGTATCGAATTGAATCGAATAAATATGTGAAGCGCACCACGCTCAAAATAATACTGAGTGAGAGCCCCGGGCAGCTGAGCTGCAAGTCCAGCTCAGCCCATTCAGCTTTGTATATGTTGTCGGAGATTACGCATTTGGTAGCCATAATGCGGCAATCTCCATGCCCGCCACGTGCCACACTCTACGCAAATGCATCAATTGTGAGGCCAGTCGCGTACATCCACAAATTATGCCACTCAAAAATATGCCATAGGCATATTAGAAACCGGTAAACCTAGACAAAACTCAAGCCTCTGTGGCTTGAGAACACGCAAATACGCTTATAATTCATATTTGTAAATAGCTTGCATTTGAATCAATACAAATGTAAATGATAGGATTTTCGATGGAAAATATTACATCGATAATAATTGCATTATCTGAAAGTAATATTATGAATATAAACATAATAACATTTTAGCTACATTTAAAGGGCGAGATTACAATTTATATTTGCAAATAACTTACATGTGAATCAAACTTACAAATGAATAAAGTTAATCAAAATGATTTGGTATTTGAATTAAATAGTTGGTTCTATTAATATTACTTTACGAGTAAAAAGAGATTAATAGGACTATACTCAAAGGTCCAGCTGTAAATTAATATTTGCAAATAACTAACAAATGAATCAAGTGAATCAAATGGCCTTGTATTTGAATTAAGATTTGAATTTGATTCTATTAAAATGTTTTAAATTATTATTAAGCGAAATATGATTGCGATTAACTTTGAAAACTATACAAAATCCCATTTGATATATCTGAACAAATGAATCAAGTGAATCAAACTTACAAATGAATAAAGTGAGTCAAAATGATTTGAATTAAATAGTTGGTTCTATTAATATTTCTATACAAATAATAAGAAATTAATAAGATTATACTTAAGGGTCCAGCTGAAAAAAAAACATTTGCAAATAACTTACAAATGAATCAAATGACTTAGTATTCGAATTAAGATTTGAATTTGATTCTATTATAATTTTTTTAATTATTATTAAGCGAAATATGATTGCGATTAACTTTGAAAACTATACAAAATCCCATTTGATATATCTGAACAAATGAATCAAGTGAATCAAACTTACAAATGAATAAAGTGCGTCAAAATGACTTGGTATTTGAAGTAAATAGATGGTTCTATTACTTTTACTTTACGAATAATAAGAAATTAATAAGACTATACTCAAGGGTCCAGCTTTAAATTAATATGTGCAAATAACTTATAAATGAATCAAGTGAATCAAATGACTTGGTATTCGAATTAAGATTTGAAATTCATTTTATTATTATTTTGTTGGTTTGGCTACAAATACTTCTACCTGTAATTGTTACACGATTGAGTTAAGTGCCTCAATTAAAAAAGGATTCAATTAAATAAAGGGAATGCATTTCAAAGGAATAAGGTATAATTACAATGCCTGTAAGCGGGTTGTTCAGATTGTACTTGGTTTGAAAACTACCCGAATATACTCACTTGAACTCAAGAACTAAAAAACTTTAAATAGTAGATGATTCAGTTTTTGCTGGGGTATGTGCGACATAGTAATAGGATTTGAATGAGATTAATTTGAATTTTTTTGGAATTTAGTTAAGATATTTCTTCTATGTGTCACACAATATAATACCCTTACCAAGGTATCCAAAAATATTCCATTAATAACAGTAGTAGGATTATTTGAAAGAATACTATAGCTACGTGGCCCAATCACCTTACAGCTAAAAACAAAAAAACCGTTGAGAAATCGTGGCCAAACTTACCCGCAAAGTCAATAGGCCTCGACCTGTACGCATCGGAACTGTTGTAGGGTGTGGCGAATTGCCGTAGCATTGCATGTTATGAGCTGATTTTGATTTAGTAATTGGTTAATTATTGGTTCGATAGGCAGTACGAGGTAGCTATTTTCGAAATGGGTGTCAAGTATTATGGGCCCATGGCTGTGTAGAGTTTTCAAATATATTATTTATTCACTATTCATTTGTTGCTTTTTACAAATTCTTCAAGTTAAGTTTAACAATTTAATTTGTTTTCCGTGCGTGCACGTTTGCTCATACCATAATTTCTTTACCGATATTTTAGGCTTTAATTCTTATTAAATTTTTTTGTGGTGTTTTGTTTTCACATTATTTTTGCTTGTTTTTTATTTTAGTTTTTTTTAGTTTTTTGCTCGTGTCGTCAAGTTGACAGAGTTGAGTTGAGAGAGGAGATTTAGTAGAAGCCGGTTATTTTTGTATAGTTAGTTAGTAGCTTTGCTTAAACTAAGTACAGTGCGCAAAAATAACTCTTGGAGGCCAGAAATTCCCCTGTATTTCTTCTGTTTTTTTTTTTTTTTTTTAGCAATCTCTGCACTTAGGTTTTCGTACTATATCGAGGTTCGCTTAATTCCTAGGCTGGCCTATGCTGGCTTTACGGATAAGCTAAGTTTGTGTTTAAAAGTTTAGCGAATATTTTCCTTTGCTTTTATGGACGTTGCGTTTTCACTTTGAGTTCTCATTTCATTCATTTTTCACTTTTTATAAGCAAGTAGCTAGTTTAAAAGGCAATGGGATTATTGGAAGCCAATAAGAGGCTAAGAGGGCTCTACTTCTGTTTTGCCTGGGTTTAAGCATACGCCTATTCTTTAGCTTTGACTACTTGATCTGACTTGCAGTTACAATATTATAGTATAGTAATGTTTATATATATTTTTAATATGCTACTAATTATGTTTATCCGCTCTCGTATCTGTAGTATATGCCTATATACACATCACATACGCCTAAACAACTTCTGGATTTGCTTACTGCATTTGTTTACAAACTTTTATACACGTTTTATTGTCAAAAAATATGACGACTCGCGACTTAACGATTGCACTGCCTTAGTTCTGACTCAATTTTGTTAGTTTACTTGCAAGGAGGGGTTAGCATCTACGGTTCTACGGCAGGGAGGGGATTACGAGTACTTTAGAATATATATATTTGTGTAATTATATTTGTTAGAAACTTTACACAAATTGCAGTTACAATTTATACCCTTGCCAAGTGTTCGTACTACGATCATGACATTGAAAGAGTTCTGCTAAAAGATTTGAAACTGGATGGTTCGAACACCCTCACAGCAATCTATAAGCTTAACTAATAAATACATCAGATCCTTTCGAATACAGTAACAGGATCAGCTTAAATCCATTAAAATCCACTTGAGATCAAATTCGTATTGTATGCCATTCAGGGGGAAACCTTTGCTAACCGATCTTTTCTTTGCAAGGGTATACAAGCTTCGACTAGCCGAAGCTTACACGACATACATACACTCTCGTACATAATTAAGCATACATATGTGTATTTTATAATATTTTATGCCAGAGCAATTTTAATTGCCAAGCATTTGTTGTTTGCTATGCTTTCTTTTTTTTTTTTTGACGCTTATTACAAAAATATTTTTGTTTTATTATTCAATTATGCTGCTAGTTAATGGTGTTGTTGTTGTTGCTTTGAGGCTTAGCGCTTAATATGCATTTATTATATGCGTAATGCTAGGCAAAAAAAAAAAAACATATGAAAACAAAAGTAAATAAATATATGTGTGTACACATATAATTAATACGCTGCGGGCGTACAAAGGTGTATTATGATATTTGGACGCTGTGTGCAGCTGTGTGTGTGTGTGGCTTTAGTTGTTGGTTTTTTGCACTCTATATGCATATTATATAAATATATATAGATATATATGTATATGTATACAAAATAAACTTTGCTTTTGCTTTCACATTGGCGCTTGCATAAATATTAATCGAAAAGACATTGGCAATATATTTTTGAGACGGGAGCTTAGACGGTGCAATTGCTTGTGTGTGTGTGCGTATGTGTATTGAAAGGGGCGTGGCATGGCCATGTATATAAGCGTAGCTGTGTCTACATGTATGTGTTGTGTGTGTGTGTGTGTGTGTGTGGGTGTAAGCTTGGCTAAGGTATTCTATATAAACTAACTGACGCGTATTACATTATTCAATTATTAAATTATTTATGATTTTTTTTGATATCGTCATTATTTTTTTTATACTTAGGCACAATACATTTATTTTGTTTTGCTTACTTTTGTTTATTTTTCACAAGCTGCAATTGTGAATTTTTTATAATAATTTTTAGGTCTTACAACTAAATACTACGCATAAAAACGTGTGTAGTTGTCAGTGTATGTATGTATGTGTGTGTGTGTGTGTGTGTGTTGATTTGTTGTTTTCCATTATTATTATTATATTTTATTGGTATAATTTTGTATTGATTTTCATAATTTTTCTACAATTTGAAAAAATGCAGCCACTTGGCAAATGTTTAAAGCTTTTTACTTAACTTTCATATGCAAAACAAACGTTTATAGAATGTTTACGGATAAACTAAATATAAATCATATTGAATGTTGTATGTACTTGTTGTTTATGGCTATTTCGTAGTTTGCTTTAGTTAACATTTTCTGTTTTATTGGCGTGTACAAATTTTACAAATATTGCTTTTAATATTTCCAGCTTGCAGTTAACAACTATAAACAAAAGCCATAAATTTCAAATGCTAGCTCATTTAACTTCAAAAAAAAGGCATACGTTTATGTTTCACTACAACACAAAAAACATTTTGGGACGCTCTTCCTTCACACAGTACTCACAAATACAAAAATTATATACGCATTTTACAAATTGTTTTATCTTCTTTTTTTGCTTATACTCACTGTTGCTTTTTGTTTTCGGTTTAACAAAATACGCGCTACGTTTACTACGAATGCTACAAAGTAGACAACAATTTTTGTTTTAAGTTTTTCTTTCTTTTTTTGGGCTTTTTTTTTTTGTTTTTGAATAGTTTGCGTTTTGTTGTTACTGTTTTTTTGCTTAGTTAATTTATGACTTTAGTTTGACTCGCTCTTCAGATTAACTTTCCGCGGGTTGGTTGGTTGTAAACTGCGTAATGCCATCGCTCTCCATGGACTCGAGCACATCGGCCACATAGGCGGCGACATCCGTGTGGCTGTTCTCGCCCCTCCGTATGAATGGCATCTGCAGCAGTCGGCTATATTTGGGCCTATCGCTCTCCTTCTTGATCAGGCTGCGGGTATTAATAAGCAAATATATATTTGACCATTTGCTGAGCAACTCAAAAACTCTCACCAAGTATTGACAAACTCTGCGAACTCCATGGAGAACTCAATGCCATTGTAGGATGTATGCAAACGCGGCGGATCACCCTGCACCACCTACAAGAATAGTTGTGTATGTCGAGCATTTAACCCATTTGCAGTGACAAACTCTTACCTGGCACAGCTGCTCAAATACCGAATCCCATTTGCGATAGGGAAATGTGCCTGTAGCCACCTCCATTAATGTTATGCCCAATGACCAAACATCGCTGCGCACATCATAGCCCTTGGCGCGCTCCGGATCAATGCGTTCCGGCTGCAAAAGGACACAGATATATACTTATTCAATAAGCAGACAGTTAAAGTTAAGCCTACCGCCATGTAGGGCCTGCAGCCCGCATCTTTGGTCTTGGCTATCGAGTCGACTAGCTGTCCGGAGATGCCAAAATCACATAGTTTAATGTCGCCGCGTCTGTGCAACAGAATGTTGCTTGGCTTCACATCGCGATGTATTATCTTGAGCTCCTCCTTTAAATAGTTAAGCGCATTGACTGTAGCCACCGTGATTTTGGCGAGTATGGATTCGGGTATATGCCGCTGCTTCTTCTCGAATATGTATTTATAGAATTTGTCCAGCGAGGTGTCCATTAGCTCCATGCATATCCAGCAGTCGCCCTCCTTGAAAAGCGCCCCATAGAACTGGACAATGTAGATGCATTCGTTCGACTTCATGACCACCTCCAGATCCATGAGCAACTGTTTCTGCTCCTTCTCATCCACCGTGGAGCGTATGCGCTTCACAGCCATCACCTTGTCCAACTTCTTGAATATCATTTTGTTGACCGCACCAAATGCACCGCGTCCAATTTCGCCCAAATCTTCCAAATCATCCGATGTGAACTGATGTGTATTGATGGCACCTACACCAAACTGTAGTTTGCCGCATGCCTGCTGTCGGATGCGCTCCCTATGACGATCCGTGGCGCTGCCGCTGGCGGTGGCATTACTGTTGTTGCTGCTGCTGCTGGTGGGCACGGGCACGGGCACGGGCACAGCTGGCACAAAGCTGGGCTGGGCGCTAAAGCGTAACGCCACATTATTCTGCTGCGATGAGGAACTGGAGCCAGACGACGTGGAGCCCGACGATGTGGACGACGTTGATGAAGGTGGATGTCGTATGCTCAGATTATTCAGATTAAGCTGATCAGGCGGTATGCGAGAACGACTCGGTCCAGCTGTGTGGGTTAACATTTAGATAAGGTGAAAATGGTTATTTATGATCTACGGCTTATCAATTGCATTGCGCCCAAGTAAATGCGTCAGTGCTACGTGCATATGTGTGTGTGTGTGGAGTGTGTATGCATATGTGACAGTGTTTGCGTTTGTGTGTGTGCTTGGGTACGTGTACGTGTGCGTGGGCAGTTTTAGCCAAAAAATTACTCACTTGCAAACAAATTTTTGGGCCTTTCTGCCATTATGTACGCCTGGCGCTGATCTTGCTGGCAATTTTAGTACGAATGTCCCTTTGTGGCTATCGTTTTGTTCTTTTCTGTTGGGCGCCGCGCCCCAAATACACGTCGCTTAAGGGGGCGCCGAAAATATTTTCGCAGCGAAAACTACTGGCGAAGCATATAACACACCATAACCGCACGTCGATTGGTTGCGTGGTAACACTTGAGTACGCAGCTCAATTATTTGCTAAATTGTCCCGTGCACATCTATGCTCTTTGCATTTTCACACTTTCGTTTTACATAAAAATAGACTAAAAAAACAATAAAAAGTCAGCAATGCAACAAAATATGCAGTGTGACCGTATCTGACAAGACTGAAAATGCTGACTATAAATACCGAAAATACCAAAACAGGGCTGTGCAATTTAACTCTGTAAAATGTACGGTCACATTGTATTGTTCTCTGTTAAACTTGAACGATTAGCCTTAAGTAAACGGCCAAGAATCAAGACAAGTATATTTCAATTGGGCTTCATAAAAGAACAAAAAACATCGCTTTTTTTTCTCAAACAACTGAAATATAAAAGTTAATTTCTCCAGGAATAAAGTTATGCTCGCTGTTAATAACAGAGCCGCAGGCTGTTAATCTTTCAACATTGTTGTAATTGTAAACAAAACAATTTGAGATTTAATACACTTACGTAAAAGTACAATATAAACCATGTCCGGCAGTGCGGCGCGGAGCAGCTACAAACTCTTTGTGGGCAATCTACCCTGGACTATCAGCAGTAAGGAACTGCGCACATACTTCTCCCGTTTCGGCCATGTGGCCAATGCCGAAGTGATCTTCGACAAAAATCTGGGCCTGTCCAAGTACTACGGCTTTGTGATGTTCAGCCAGCGCGACGCCTACAATAGTGCCAGCAACCAGAACACACACCTCCTAGAGGGACGCGTGCTCAACGTGCAGCGAGCCAACGAGCATACATAGCTTTAGTGAAATAACGCATTGTAATCAAAATATACACACAATTTTATTACTTGGATGAGGGCAGATATTTAGTGTAGTTGGAACCTACAGCGTCTTTGACGCAAGCGTAGCCCAATTCGCTGATCCGCAGAGAGAGATCCCCCTTAATGCGTTCTACCAGCTCAGGGCCCTCGTATATGAGTGCTGTGTAGATTTGAACAAACGAAGCGCCAGCCTCGATTTTCTCGAATGCATGCTGACCAGATGCAACACCACCCACGCCTATGATGGGCAGGCTGCCCTTGGTCAGTGAGTACATCTGGGCAATCAGCCTGGTCGAGCGTTCCCGTAGCGGTTCACCACTCAAACCGCCCGCCTCGCTGGCCAATGCCAAGTCGCTGATGTTGTCGCGAGCGACGGTGGTGTTGGACACAATGAGACCATCCACGCGGCATTTCTTCTGGTTGATGACGGCGACAATGTCATTCAGCTCGCTCGTTTCCAAATCGGGCGATAGTTTCAACAGAATAGGCACTTTCTGGTTCGTCTTGAGCTTGCCACGAGCTATATTAACTGCCTCCAGCAGTTCGGTGAGCTCCTTTTTACTCTGCATGTTGCGCAGTCCCTTCGTATTGGGACTGCTGACATTAACAACAAGATAGTCGGCGACAGGTCCAAATGTGTGGATACCCTTTACATAGTCACTAATTGGAGTCAGAGTGTCACGATTGCGGCCTAGATTGACGCCCACAATGGCATGAAAGTCCTCACGTTCACGAATAGCCTTTAAGCGCTGCGCCACCACCTCGTGGCCGTCGCTATTGAAGCCATAACGGTTGATTAGGGCCCGGTCGTTGACCAACCGAAAGACTCGCGGCTTTGGATTGCCTTCCTGGGCCAGGGGTGTCACGCTGCCCACCTCAATGAAGCCGAAGCCCAAATCCTTCAGACCCATCACAGCCTCACCGTTCTTATCGAAACCGGCTGCTATGCCAATGGGATTGCTAACAAGGCGACCAAAGAACGAGCTGTGCAAATTGAGATCGTCCGTGTAGTCGGAGGCCGGGTAGAGACGGTACTTGCACGCCAACACCGCCAAATTGTGGCTGGTCTCGGCCGGCAGCAGACGCACTGCGGGCATGACAAATGTTCGAAATAGATTATCCTGATTGTGGTAAGCCGTTAGGCCCATATAGAGGGCCGTGGCGCCAACCGTCACAATACCCAGGGAGCGTAGGCGGCTCTGTGAAATTCGTTATATTATTTAATACAAATACATTTTTTTTTTATTTCAAATTTGTTATTAGCTCACCAATTTTTGCGTCTTTTGCAACACCATCTTAATAAACGTTGTGATCTGAATCATTTTTATTTTGTGAATTTTTATAACTAGTTAACAGGTGGTGCTCGTATAGACAGATGTGTGGATGGTTGGAGCTAAGTACAGAAATATTAGCTACATCTGTTATATTTTCAAATTCAAAACGGTGTGGTTGAGATGAAAATGTTTGAATGGATATAACTTTATATATAGAAACAAATGGCTTAACTACATATAGTCGTTATGAGCTGGTTCACAGCTGAACTACAAGGAATTAGGCATGAACGGAACCAATCAACTCCAACGATGAGTCAGTCTTTGTTTTCTTTCTGTTATTGCACCTGGACCAATCACACATATGAGCCAGCATAAATAGCAGTATATACATATATATAAATATGAAAGGAGGTACATTTCGCAACACACAATGGGATCCCACGCTGCTGACATCACAGATTGTGTCCATGCAGTGCTGTGTGTACTTCTCGCTGGGCCTGCTCGTGTTTGTGGCCAACAAGTTGGCTGGCGACAACTATACACTGGATCACCTTTTCGAATACCATGTATGTAGTTAGCCTTAGCAGGACGCAGTTTTTGTTCAGTATATCAGTTTACATATTCTTCGCTGCAGGAAATACATATATATGATATGGGTGGTCGTCTGGTCATCTGCGCTTTTGTGCTGAATGCCTTTGTGGCCTCTTTGGCGCTCTGGTGCATTGTTCGCCGCGCCAAGCTGTGTCTGGACTTCAGGTAGTTGGCTATCAGTAGCTATATGCATACATATATATATATTTAATTTACTTACGCAACTCTATTGTAGCTGCACTTTCCATTTGCTGCATCTGATCATCTGCTGGTGGTACAATCGCTCCTTTCCCGCCAACGCCTCCTGGTGGCTGCTTAATGTGATTACCGCAACGATAATGTGCATAGGCGGCGAGTTTTTGTGCCTGCAAACCGAAATGAAGGAGATTCCCGTGGGCTATGCGGCGCTCAATCAAAAGTCGGACGTTTGAGTTGACCGTTAGATGGATTAACGATGTGATTGTGATGCTCACCAAGCCACCAGTTACTCTAAACATACTTTTAATTTATTGTAAAACAGTTTAAGTATATATATACATATATATATAATGCGTACGTAAACGCTAATGCAATATCTGATATATATAAGGCGCGCCACGCTTCAGGTTCAGCTCCTTGGGCACCGTCTGTGGCGGCATAAAAAACTTCAGCTCCGCGGCTGCCGGATCGCCGGATGTGCTGCCATTGTGCATAAACAGCTGCCAGAAGTGCAGCTGGCTCGGCACCAGATACCAATAGCTGAACATGAGCCCGAACGAGACGATCAGCGCGCCGAGCAGCAGCAGCGTCCAGCATTGCCTGCGTTGTGACTTCTGCATGATGTGCTTTCAACTGAGAGCAGAAAAAAACTCAAATCGACAGAAAAATAAATACACTTTGCAATCGACTAAGCAAACACACCTTTTGCGAACAACCAGACGCTTCAATTTATCTCTAAATACAAAAACAAAGAAACGAAAAAAAAAGAGCAGCAGAAGTCAGCTCCTCCTTAATTTAGCCACCGCAACAATGCAGCCTAATCAGGTTTTCCAAATCTAATCAGCCACTAATTGGCTCGGCTGTGGTCCCCAACACGACGATCCGGCGCGAGCTTTCGCTGAATTCATGTTAATTGAAGAGCGGGCGAGCTCGCTACGAAACATTCTTCTTTTTTTATGGATCGCGCATTGCAAGTTGAAATTTTAAATTAACTACGTTGGACATAACTGCGCATATGGAAATGCACTTCTTTGTGATTCGCAGACAGAATAACAAAAAACCGTTAGCTCTCACTCTCTCTGTCCCTCTTGTAAACATAACAGCAAATCGAATCGCCGTCACCAAATCGAAGATTGTATACCCTAGGCATCTTAATGTATGAAATAAATTCTCGACTGCTCCATATATTGGAACCAGCGCTCGGTTTTTGGTTATAATTAAAAAAAAAACCAAAAAATATGTATATATCTGCATTTTGGACCAAAGATTTGCTCTTTTGGGGCCACGAAATACAGATATACGAAGTAGAATATAAAATATATCAACCTATATACTCTAATTCCATATATTTTACTTCACGACACACCTTTGCGTTACACGCGTCATAACAAAATTATAATACCCTCTGCAAGGGTATATATACATGAGGGAATTTCCGACAACTCTGAGATGTTTATCTTAGTAAAGATGAGTAGATTCTTGTTTATGGTGTGGAACCTTTAAATAAAACACTGCTGTTTTCCATTTGCTAAATTATTCAGTTTATTTTTAGCAAACTTGTTTTTTTTTTTTGGTTTTAAATGATTTTCTTGTATTTCGTGTTTGTGTGTGTGGTTTATATTTATATATATATGTATATATAACTTTACCAGTTATACTTTTTCTTTAAAATCATCAATTGAAGTTCAAGTTTTATCAATTGTTAATCGCTTATCGCTTAGTTTTGTTTCGTTTTCCTTTTATATATAAAGATATATATATATATGTATATCGATTTCAATATTTGAAAGAGAAAATATGCGAGAGGAAGGGCGGGTGCGTAAAAGTTCACTTTTACTGGACAAATATAATTCAGATTGCCCTTTTGTTTAAATTAAATCCTTATATTTCTGGCTCGCGCTTTGCTCTAGCATAACTATATATTTTTTTTTGTTTATTATAATTATTAATATTATTTGTTTATGAGCCTATTTTTACGCGCGTGCATTTGTTTTGTCAACTACAATTCATAGTTTGTTGTAATTTTGTTGTTTTCAGCCATATATGCAAATGTATGTATATATGTTGAATATTTAATTTTAAACAGTTTTTTTTTATTTTATTTGTAATGCGTTCTATTGTAAATGTGTTGTGGGTGTGTGTGTGTGTGCGTGTGTGTTAATGCGTGAGTGTGAGTGTTGCGCTGCGCACAGACAGTTTCTCTTTCACATTTGCTGCCCCTATATATATATATATATATATAGATATATATATACATATATGTATATATATAGACGATACATATAATATGCAAATATATAATTAAGTTGTTGTCGATCGGTTCATCAAATGTTGCTCTGCTTTGCTCCTGCTCCTTACTGTTTTTTTTTTCAGATATTATTATTGCTGTTGTTGTTGTTGTTATTGACGCTAGTCGGGATTATGTGGACGCTGTGGATGCTGCTGCCGGCCCCTCTGGGTGACAGGCCTTGCTCATTGACCCCACCAATCGGGCCCGTTGTTTGAGTGCGAGGCACCACCACCGCCGCCGCCGCCGTAGGAGCCACCATATGAACCGCCGCCGCCACCGCCGCCGCCATAGGCGCCACCGCCAGAGCTGCCGCCACCTGCCACAACACGGAATATATTATTATAATATAGGCAACAGGAATTTGGGATTTGTGCGTAGAGTTCACTCACCAAACTTACCATACGAGTTGCCATTGCTGCGATAATTGCCACCACCAGCGCCGGCGCCACCGCCGGAACCAGTGCTGCGACCGCCGCCGCCGCCGCCGCCAATACCGCCGCCGCTGCGTCCACCGCCACCACCGCCGCCAGAGGATGTACGATAATCGCGTGAGCCAAAGCCGCCGCCGTAACGTGCACCGGCACCGCCGCCGCGTCGCTTTGCGCCACCATGGCCGCGATCCGAGCTGAGCATCTCCTCGAGAAAGCCGGGTATCTCCTGCTTCGTTTCGATCAGCAGCTCCAGCAGATCAGAGCAAATGTTGCGGTTTTTGTCATTGAAAAAGGATGTGGCAACGCCCAAATTGCCCATACGTCCGGTACGACCAATGCGATGCACATACTCCTCCACATCGGTGGGCAGATCAAAGTTAATGACATGTGTCACATGCGGAATGTCCAGACCACGTGCCGCCACAGCGGTGGCCACCAAAATGGGGCAATCACCAGAACGGAAACAGCGCAACGCCTCTTCGCGCTCCTTTTGAGTACGATCGCCATGTATACTGGTCACCGGATGATTGCACTGATAAAGGAACTCTTCCAGAGAATCGGCACCCTTCTTTGTCTCCACAAAAATGAGCGTCAGATTGTCCTTGGAGTATTCCGGTCCATCCCGTATCGATGATAGCAGATCTAACAAATAGGAGCGTTTATCCTGATCGTATACCCACAATATGGTCTGGGTTATGTTCTCCGATGTGGAGCCAACACGTCCCACGGCCAAGAATATATAATTGCTGAGAAAATCGCTGGCCAACTCCTGGATCTGTTTGGGGAATGTGGCCGAGAACATCAACGTCTGGCGCTGTCCCGTCGGCGGCATATTCAACTGTTCGACAATGCGACGAATCTGTGGCTCAAAGCCCATGTCCAACATGCGATCGGCCTCATCCAAGACCAGAAAACGTATATTCTCCAATCCCACCTTGCCGCGCGTTATCATATCCTCCAGTCGTCCGGGTGTTGCTACAATCAAATGACATCCCCGATCCAGTTCGCGCATCTGTTCGCTAGTATTGTTGCCTCCATAGAGCACAGCGGGACGCATGCGCGAGCGATAGGCGAACTTCTTGGCCTCCTCAAAGATTTGGGTGGCTAGCTCACGGGTCGGCGCCAGCACCAGGCCCAACGGGAATTGCTTGCGTCGGCTATATTGCCGATTGCTTTGCGGCGGAGCCGACAAACCATGCTCGTACATCTGATTCAGGATGGGCACAAGAAATGCGGCCGTTTTGCCAGAGCCTGTCTGGGCACAGGCCATCAAATCCCGTCCGCTGATTATAATTGGTATTGCGTATTTTTGCACCGGCGTCGGTTTATCATAACGCGCCAGACCCACATTGTTCCGTATGATCTCCGTCAGCTGCACATCATCGAACGATGTGATGTGCGGCGGAACGTTCTGGCCCGTCGCCTCCACGGGTATATCCTCGTATTTGTCAAAATTGATGCCTGTGTTGCCCACACCGAAAAGCTCCGTCTCCAAGCGCTCGTCGCGTGCACCCAGTTTTGTGTAATCGGTGTTTCCGCCGCCGCCGCCACCGCCACCGCCCTCCTTCCAGCGATTGTTGTAGGCACCGCCACCGCTTCCCCCGCGATTGCCGAAGCCTCTGTTGCCACCGCTCCCACCACCACCGGGTGCGCCACCTTCAGCGGCATCGCCTTCGTAGCCAATCGGGCGCTCCGGCTCCTGCCAACGATCATTACGTGGCTGCTGTGCCTCCTCCGATTGTTCGTTGAGGCCGTTGCCTCCGGCACCACCGCCGGCGCCGCTACCGCCACCAGCGCCCCCGCGAAACGACGGTCCGCGTCGATCCCCAAAGCTGCGTCCACCTCCGCGATTCCAGTCGCCGCCTCGGCGCGAGTCAAATTCACCTGCGAAAGGGGGAAGAAAAAATGTTAGCCCAAGTTTCTCAGTCCCAATCTTTGAACTTATTTTATCGACTAGTCTGTTCCCCATTCAGATATTTTATAGCCAAATTTTTAAAACTATTTGACAAAACTGTCGTTAGGTTGTCCCATCAAAAGGTCGCTTACCGTTATAGTTTTCCTCGTAGCGGTTGCTGCCACCACGTCTGCCGCCGCCACCGCCGCTGCCTCCGCTTCCAAAACTTCCGTAGTCGCCGCTCTGGCGATTGTAGCCGCGATTACCTCCGCGCTCGCTTCGGCGAAATTCACCGCCGCGCTGTTGCTGCTGGTCCCTGTTCTCGAGACGCGGTGCGGCACCTGAATCAAAGCCCTGGCCCTGATTATCTAAGTCCGCGTTGTTGTTGCCACCTCCACCTCGAAGATGCGGGGGCACATAAACGCCACCAGTGACCGAATTAGTGGAAGTCTTGCTTGTTATGGGGCCGCTATAGTTAGCCGAGCCGCCATTCAAGTCCAGACCAGCAACCTGAAAGGGCACGAAAAAGATTTAAAAAAAAACCAAAGACAAATGTAAATGTAACGAACGACGGACTGATAGATACACTGCAACACACATTCATAATTGACCTACACATATTCTTTCATTTCTTAATCACAAGTAGCAGGAACTCTGCTCATTGCCGATTCGTGCTGAATAAGCATTAACCTATTATAAACAGTCAGCAACTTTTTTTTTAAATACAGTTGGCAACACTACAGAGATGTGGAAGATTTCAGACGCTGACTGTTCAAACCCGTAATACGTCATATTTTTTCAATCATATTTTAATGATAACAAAATAAACAAATCGACACGTCTTTTGCTTGAGTTTCGTGTCACGCTAGAATCGGACAAACATATGTACATAACTAAGCGATCAAGTTCAACGAATTCTAAGCCGTTGCCGAAGAGAACTTTGTAATAACAAGTTTTTCAGTAGAACATACATATACTCATACAATCGCAATCTTCTCACAATACCATCGCCACTCCCGGTTAGCAACATGTTTTTTATTTGAAGCGCGTCGTGAATATGTCACACTCACACACAACAAGCGCAACTAGTTTGAGAGGCTTTGAAAGGCAGGAGCTTAGCAACAACAAAAACAATAGGATGCCACCCACACACGCGCAAAACTCATGCTTAGTGCAAAGTTTTCGTGGAAAGAGTCGAGATGGAAGCTATACAATGTGGAACTTGTTTTCACCACACAATCATTTACAGGGTGTTATCGCATTGTGGATGTGGCTCACAACGCACAGATTACATGCACGTCTGGCAACCCTGTTTACAATTGTACTCAGCTTCCACATGCGTGCGTGAGCGAGAGCATGGCAAAAGAGCACGCCGCAACTGGCACGCTCACACACACTTGCATTCACTGGTTTAGAATTGCGGCTACACAGGCACGCATACAAAAGCAAAATCACTCTGACACGCATAAACGTACATTTGCACAGCAATGAACATGCCAAATTGGAGGCAAGCTAAAATTTATACAAAAGAAATTACACAAATAAAATAGCAGACCAACACAAACACACAAACAGATACGGCTTACACGTACACGAGTCACCGTTCGTCGCAAAATGTAAAAGCGCAACGCGTTCCACGGTCAGACGTTTTATATGTTATGAAATCAATAAAAAAAAATTTTTTTTGTAGAGCCCTGACTGAACACTGCAATAATCGTGTGCGGACCGCATGAGCATCGTCGACTCTTTCACACATGGACACTCACACACAGAAACACTTTTAGCTGACACAGCTAACACACATATGCACAAATGTACCATTACGTTTTTTTTTCTTCCATTATGTACCCTCTTTTGCACCGCACCACATTTTACATTCACACACACACACACACACACACATTCAAGTACCATACTTACTTGCTGCTCTAGACCTGTGCCATTTTGGTTAATAGCATTACTCATATTATCCTCCAATCACTTGCTTGTTTTTTCTTTCTTTCCGTTTAGGAAAATTTTGCAATTGTTCTTGATTTTGCGCACACTTGCAATTTCCGAAAAAAATAATTGTATGTAAATTGTTTTTCTTTCTTTTTTGTGTGTTAGTGTTGCACTTCGTGTCTATACGTTTTTCTTTTAGTTTTTTTTTCCGACAACTTCTTACGTTCCACAAGCTACTACGTTCTTATGTGGTGAGAGCGAGGTTGTACTTTTCACAATCAGTTTCTTCGATCAATGAGACTTATATATTGTTCATATGTTTTGCTAGGCCTACTTGTGCCTAACGAAAATCACAAGCCTGTTATTATGCTTGTGCTTAAAATGTATGGTTTTTATACGCTTTCGCGTTTTTTATGCTTTCAGACGCGTGTCTTATCCACACCAACGGCGAAAACGAGCCACACGGGAAAAATGGTGGAGAGCTGGTGATGGGAGCGCGTGAGTCAGCGCCGTTGCTTATCGTTATCGCAGTGAACAGGGTTGATTTGACAGAGCTGCTTTGCTTAATGCGTTACCAGACTGTTGAGGTAAACGCTTACCTACACAAGTTGTAAGTCGATAGTCTTATCGAGTCCTGGCAGCCGTTAGAGCTGCCCGGTTTTTCTTTTTTAAATCTTCGCAATCTCTTATACAACAACTCTTTTTTAAGAGAACCTTGAACAACTTTGAACACTTAGATGGATCACTTCGCTATGTTGGGGCTAACGTTGTTTGTTTCGAGAAATGCTTGCTTTGCAGTTGAAATTTTGTATGATTTATGCCAAAACTTGTTGTGTTATGTGCATGTGTTGACTATTTAATTTTTAGGCTTCAAAGATTTGAAGCAAAATTCAAGGAAGTATACAATGTTGTTGTTGTATTTATTATTAACGCACAAGCACATACATCTGGTAGACATACATACATGTAAATATATATGGTTTTAATATATGTTTATATAGAATAAATGCTTTTGGTATTTTGGCTGCAGCTTTAGCTAAAGTTTATAATAAGGAGCATGTACTGGGAATGTTGCAAGTTGCCTGCTGGTAAATTTCCAACAATCAATATCTTTATATACCTTTAAATATATATATATGTGTGTATATATAACATAAATAATGTTGCCAGCTGCAGTTTCAATGAAGTAGCCGAGTTAATGTGAGAAATAGCCAACAAAAAAAAAAAGAATTCGTTTTCTAAACTCAAATTGGCAATTAACAGGGTTGCCAGATGCGAAAAAGCTTAACTAGTTGACATTTTTCAACGTTTTATGGCTAACGAACTCGTAAATAGCTACATTTAGCTAGAAGATAGCTGAATTGGCAACACTGAAATTCAGCCCTTGAGCAGGCAGCGTTTATAGAATTCCCGATCGATCGCATCGCTGGGTATATACGAGCTCCATTTAAAGATCAGAGCCAGTGTCTCGCTGGCCGATAGATGATCCAGCGCAATGTTGAGAAAACAGTTCCATGTGTAGAAATAGTGTCGTGATAGCTGCTCCAGCTCCACATTGCTGACGCACTCACAGTTGACGCACACCAAACGGCCGCGTTGGAGCTCCACAAACTGCTCAAAGCATCGCGCCCAGGCAACGCCATTGAGCTGCCTACCCACATCCTGCAGCAATTCCACGGCGCCATAGTTGAAGACAATGGGCAGCACTTTGTCCAGATTGTGCTCGGCCAAATAGAATTTGGCCAGCACATCGAGCAGCGCCGGCACCGATTGCAGCACATCGAAGCACTTGAGCTGCTCGTGCCGGGACCAAAAGTAACGCAACAAAACCGCGCCCAGCTCGTGGTACTGGCATGCATTTTGGAAACGCAGCGGAAAATTGCAGTGGCTGCAGCGGACAATTTCCACGCCGGAATTGAGCAGCGCCAATCCGCTGGCTATATAATCGCGTGTGGCATCATCCATTTCCCAGATTAGCTCCGGATTCAGATAGTTGAAATACATCTCATAGCAGTTGCGCTGCGCCTGCTCCGGGCTGTCGCCATGCTCCAGCATAACCTGCCCAAGCTTGGCAAGCAGCTGCATCAGCTCGCTGGCCGCATACTGATCGAAAACAGCACGATAGCGCTCTACGCAGTGGGTGCGACTGAACTTGGCGCCCTTGTGTATCAAGTAGAGATTGTAGATGGTCTTCTCCTCTGGACTGATGTGCGGCGTGGGGGTCATGGCGAGCGTGGTACGCTTCCGGCTGCGGCAGACAATTTCCTCATCCTCGTCCGGCGTCTCGTAGCGGGCTTTGATATCCTTAAAGGGCTGGGAACGCTCACTAGCGGGTATTAGCTCGCGCACCAGCTGCTGCTGCTGTTCCTCGGCGAATATGTTAAACTTGTACTTGATGATGTTTTTGCCAAATTTGCCGGTGACTGTGAGTAATGCATCCTTGAAATGGCCCGACTTGGGCGGCTGCTTCAGATTATCGCAAAAGGCATTCTCCAGCACATATACGCCTTTGGTTGGAGCCGTGCTGGCGACGCCAACTCCTCCACCGCCGCCTCCTCCCACCGTACTCAAGCTGGCGCTGCGCTCTGTTGTCGCCGAGCTGCCGCCGGAGCTTTGTGTGTCTAGTGCGCTGCCCGTGCACTGGGCAATGGCATCAAAGATCACGGATATATCGTTAAGAAGCTCGTACTGCTGCCGTTCAATCAACAGCTGCTTTAGCTGGTTGAGCTGCTTCAGCTCCTCGTGCTCGCGCGCCTTGTCAGCAAAGTATTTGACGTGCTGGCGCAACAGCCTGGCGCATTGCGGCAGCTTGAACTGCTGCATCAGCGAGATGGCGTGCGCCTGCAGCGTCTGCAGCTGTACGCTGTACAGAGAGCCCGTTTGTGTGAAGACAAAGATGTCGGCGCCGGCTACGCGGCAGTCCACAATGCGCTCGAACTGATTGCACCAGAGCACCACCGTTGAGTGGCGCACATCGAAGATGTACAGGCCCAGTTCGGTGTAGGCCAGCAGAAAGTTCTGGCCCAGGCGTTGTAGTTTGGCGAATTGCAGCTGCTGCGGCTGATAGTTCAGCAGCTCATCGTTGGCCTCCAGTGCATCCGCATCTTCCTCATCAAATGCATCGCTCTCGCTGGGCTTGAGTATCTTGGCAGGTGCGGTGGCCAGTGCGCTCTTAAACTGATGTGTTTGCACCACCTCGCCCTCGAAATCAACCTCCCAGATCCGTGTACCCGGACGGGCACAGTAAATGCGCGACGGCTGCAGCGATTCGTGGGGCGATATAAAGAAGCAGGCGCCAAATGCGCCATCACGTGGACGGTTACCGATCTGCCAGCAAAAACAATAAATTAATTACAAGTGACTGACAAGCGGTCAGTTCTTACGACCCCCAAATGTCCAAAATGCAGGGTATATATCGATTTTTATCGATTTCTGAGCAATAGCGGGAGTTGTCGATCATTTGTGTGATTGGGTTCTGGGTATTGGGTATGAAGAGAGCTAAGCTTGGTGTATTTGTGCTGATTTACCTGCTTGTATTCCTCGTACTCGGTGTTGCATAGAATACACTTGGTGCTGTTGGACACCAGGAGCAGGGATTCAAAGTCATCGATTTGCACGACAGGCGCATCCAAATACAAAAGCGGATGCACGGTCATGTTGAACAGCAGGCTGTGCCCTATAAAGGACGAGAGCAGCACCAGGTTTACCTGGCCACGCGTATCGCCATAGTAGAATTGCTTCTCATCCGGCGTCCAGTGGATGCAGCTCACCTGCACCGACTGATCGGTGCTCAGATGCGTAACAATCACCTGGGGTGCGGCCTGAGCAGAGAGATTCACCGCATACACACAGATAAGCGAGCGTTGGGTGGCAAAGGCCACATACTTGTTGTTGGCCGAGATGCTCAGGTGTGTGACGGGGCCATGTTTGTTTGGGATCAGGTGCATAAACTTGCCGCCACGATTGAAAAAGTACAGCGAGCCCGAGGTGGCACCAAAGATAATGTAGTTGTCTGAGATATCAAAGCACGTATACTAAGAAATAGAGAAGCAAATACCAGTTACCATTTTGTATTAAATTACAACAATTTGTTACCTTGATCCGATTGCTGTGCCTCAGCGGCTGTGACAAATGCTGTGAAAAATCAATAAAATTGGAAAGACAGTAGGCGTCGGTCATTTTGCTGCTTGTTGTTACTGGTTGACACGAGTGTATTTACATTGTTCGCACTCTTAACTGGCGAAACTTTTCGGTTTATTTGTTATTATTCGCTTATTATTTATGCATTTTAACAGTTAGCAGAAAAAACAACAAAAACAAGAATGCAACTCTTACAGATGTTAGTTTAGTGCTGCCACCACGTTGCTGATGCAGGGTCTGGCAGCACCAGCAACTTATTTACATTCAATGAACGACTGGCTGGCATCTTGGCCACGCACAGCTGTTATATTTGTTTTCTTTCAAAAAGCTTAAATAAATTAAAATCAATATTGTTAATGCAATTATAAATTATTTGTTTATATTTATGTATATTAACATTGCTGCTTAACAACATGCCGGCGCATTATGGCTGCTCCAAACAGCTGCGCAACCTCGCCGCCCCCTCACCTAACATAACCATGCTCACAGTTGCTGTCAGCTAAACGTCAAAACAGTTCGTGGCCGTCGCGTTACAAAAAAAAAGTTCAACCGAAACGCTATGAGGAATAAAAATACAAACGCAAAACACTAAAAGTGATTAATAAGAAGCAAAATTTTTTTGCATATGTGAAACAAAGCAACATGGCTGATAATGAGCCAAAAACGCCTGCACCATCACCCACAGAAGAGGGTCTCGCCGATATGGCCGCAACGGCTGCAGCAGCTGCGACTGCGGCTGCTGGCCGCGTCGCCGACGATGGCACCGCTGCATCCAGCGGCACAAGCAGCACACAGAGCGGCAGCACAAATGTGAAGGTTTTGATAATTGGCGCTGGAATGGCTGGTCTATCCGCTGCCAATCATCTGTTGCAAAACGGTTGCGATGATTTTCTCATTGTGGAAGCGCGCGGTCGGGTGGGTGGGCGTATTGTGTCCATACCGCTCGGCAATAATCAAAAGGTAGTGCAGCGCATTATGTAAGCAATATGTTTGTCGGCAACCGCGAAGGGTAGCAGGGCTAAAGGTAGGAGGGTATGGGCAGAGTGTGTTGGTATTTTTGTCAATTTGCTGCTTTTGAGCAACGGGTTTTTTTTGGCTCGGGCAAAAATATAAAATTATAGATTTTTCAACGCGCTCGGACAACCAGCCGCATATTTATATATTAGTTAATAAAAAATACAGAACTATAGATATTCTTTTTGAAGTTAAAACTTTTAATACATTTAAAAAAAAAAATTTTTTTTATTTTTATTTTCATGGCCTCACATTTTTATAACCTTTTGCGTGTCCTTGTCCTTGCCACCTTGCGCATTTTATTTTGTTTTTTTGTGCATATTTTTTTTAGCCGGAAGTGGCAACTACCAAGCCACCCAGCTCTGTTCGGGCACGAGAATTTCTCTTCCCCGATTGTTATACAATTGACTAATTTCTAGATAAGATTGGCTATACCAATTATGACGTAAAGGGGGCGTTGCATTCAGCGACGGGTTAACAATCACGTAGACAGTTGACAAATGGTATTATTCAAATAAAATAAGCTAAAATTGGGAAATAAATATGTACATCATATTTGCTTAACGAGCTAGTCGTCACTCTCAAGAATTATCTTATACCAACTATCTTATATATATCATATAGGTCAGTTCTTATCAGGCTAAATGGAAAGTGAAATATATTTTATCTATTAATTTGTTAATACACAGGCATTCTCATATATTTAGCAGCTAGCAGAAGTAGGAGGAGTAACATTATGTTAGGGGTATTAAGTATACTTATAGAGCTCTATATTAATCGGTCAAAATCAAATGTTGAAATATATATTTAAAATCAGCAATTATTTGAAATTAATCAAATAAGAATAGAAAAACTTTCGTGGTGAATACCCCTTTTGTGGGTTTTTCTCTGACCATATTTTGCCCTATTTGAAGTTATTTTTTTTTCATATATCTCCGCAGGTGGAACTGGGCGCCAATTGGATACACGGCGTGCTGGGCAATCCGATATTTGAGATAGCCGTGCAGCATGGTCTAGTCAGCGTTGTGAACGTACCAAAGCCGCACAAAGTGGTGGCCACCACCGAGGATGGTCATCAAGTTCCTTTCAGCATACTGCAGGAGATCTACGAGGCGTACGTCTGTTTTCTACGCCGCTGTGATGAGTATTTCCTGTGTCAGTACAGCCCACCGCCGGACATTAACAGCGTGGGGGAGCACATCAACTATGAGATTCAGATCTATCTGAGCTCTGTGCAGGATCCCAAGGAGAAGCGCCTGAAGCAATTGATATTCAATTGCCTGCTCAAGCGCGAGACCTGCATCACGGGCTGCCACAACATGAACGAGGTGGACTTGCTGGAACTGGGTGAGCAGCTAATTCTGTGGTTGGAGCGGTTTGAAGTATATTAAAAATATGCCGGCTTTTGCTTGCAGGCAGCTACACGGAACTGCAAGGCGGCAATATTGTGCTGCCCGCTGGCTACAGTTCCATACTGCGTCCGCTGAGCGCTCAGATTGCCAGGGAGTCCATCATGACCAAGTGCCCGGTAAAGAAGATACACTGGAAACGAAAGAAGACATTCACTGGGCTGGAAACCGTTGATGAAAACTCGGAGAATGAAGATTCCGATGATTCGGAGAAGACCGTCACGGAAGTACCCACAGCGACTAGTGCCGCTTTGCGTGGCGCCTCCGTGGAGTCCAATGCCAGCAGCAATTGTGATTATGCGCCCGAGGGCTCCGTTCGCGTCGACTGCGAGAACGGACGTGTGTTCCATGCGGCGCATGTGATATGCACCATACCGCTGGGCGTGTTGAAGCATACGCATCGAACGCTCTTCGATCCGGAGCTGCCTCAGTATAAACAGGAATCTATTGAGAATCTCATGTTCGGCACTGTGGACAAAATCTTTCTGGTCTACGAGCGACCATTTCTCAGTGCGGCCATATCAGAGGTGATGCTGCTCTGGGATGATGAGAAGCAGGACGCTGTCAGCGAGGAGGATCGCGCTACAGAGGCTTATCTTAGCAAGAACTGGTTTAAGAAGATCTACTCATTTGCTAAGATTACGGACACACTACTGCTGGGCTGGGTATCTGGTCGTGAGGCGGAGTATATGGAATCGTTGCCAAACGAGGCAGTCGCTGAAAAATGCACAGAAATTCTGCGCAATTTTCTGCAGGATCCCTACGTGCCCAAGCCCAAGATGTGTGTGTGGTAAGTTGAAATGACCCTGTGTAATTCCTATTCGTCTAACTGGTTCTGTATTTAGCACCAGCTGGAAAACACAAACCTATACGGGCGGCGCATACACCTCAATACCCGTGGGTGCCACGCAGGAGGACATCGAGAACCTGGCCCAGCCGCTGTATGCGACGCCGCAGGCCACGAAGGTGAGTCCAAAGCGTTGTAGCCTTGAACTTCTCTAATTTCTTACTCAATGTCCTGCCCCTTAACAGCCTGCCATTGTGTTTGCCGGCGAGCACACACATTCCAGCTTTTACTCCACCGTACATGGCGCCTACTTAAGCGGACGGACAGCGGCACAGTACTTGCTGGCGAATGACGAACCCGACGAGATTATCATGGAATCCGATGGCAGCGATTTGAGCGCCTGGATGCAGGGCATTGCACTGGACTGAGCCGAGCAACGATAACAATTACGTTTTTGTATTATAATTTATGTACGTTACGTTTCTTATTAGCGCTTTTATTTATCGCTTCTTTGCGTAGAAGCCACTTTTTAGCTAGTGATATCACGTCTTGTGTATTTTTCCTTTGTTTTTAAGTTCCATTGTGCATTTGTTTAATTATACAAGATTTTTGTTATTGCTTTTTCTTATCAAATATCAAATTCCACACAGCATTCATTTATTTATTTTGTGAACAGCTTCTAGAAAATCCGCTTGTAAAATATCAAGAAAATAAAACTTTATACATAAATATATGATGTTAACAGATCGTATCATATTTGAATACAAATTAAATTAATTAAAAAAAAAAACATTCTCTGTGCACGCTAAGCAGCTTTCATTGTAATGTTGTTAATCGTGAGTAAAAATTGAATGTGCACAAAATAAAATCGTAACGAGAATTGTTTAGACCGTAAAACATATGCATATTTTTATAAATTCATATTTAATATAGTCGAAATTTGTGTTAAGTTACGAAAACAATTCGAATCAAGTTTTTCGAACAAAGAGCTGCTGCAAGTCTTTAATGAAATTTATACCAAAAGACAAATCAAATTAAAACAAAGTGTAAATTTTAATGTAACTATGTATTGTTAATGTTAACTATTTTGCTAACTATATTATGCATTAGTTAAATCTATACTAAGACAACTAAAACAAACAAAAATGATATTACAAAATTTTATGTATATCCAAAATAGATAACATATATATTTATTTGTATTTATTTATAATTATTTCAACTTATGCGCATCCGAGAATAAATCAACACGCTAAATTGCCAGAATGCGTTTTTTTCCATTCGTTGATACTAACTGCACCGCCCACATCTGTCCACCTCATCAGTGCCCCAATCAATTAGCGTTTTAGCGTCGTCCGGCCATGTGCCTTCGATAGCTCAGTTGGTAGAGCGGTGGACTGTAGTACGGAATTTGCAATATAGACATCCATAGGTCGCTGGTTCAAATCCGGCTCGAAGGATTAATCTTTTTTGTTGCTTTTTATTTATTCATTTACTTTTGTTGCTTTTTTATTTATTTATTTATTTTTGTTGTATCCATCAAGTTGGCATTTTTATTTAGTTCGACTTCCAAACTTATATTTTGCTTAAAATCAGTTTCTTAGATTACGCCTGCAGCAAATCATCTGTTTTAATATTTTTTTATTTTAAACTAAAGTCGATCATCATTAATCAAAATTTTAGTATATTCGTATATTCAACACTGTAAAAAGGTACTTTTATAATAAAAAGCCAGTAAAAAATTAAATCCTTCGAGCCGGATTTGAACCAGCGACCTATGGATGTCTCTATTATAAATGCCATACTACAGTCCACCGCTCTACCAACTGAGCTATCGAAGGCGCATAAGTCGAGCGACCAATGTCTTATTTTAAGGCGAACTGTAAAAGCGCTTAAAATTGAGGCATATATTTTGTTTTAAAATAGCTTGCGCATGCGAATCGAATAAAGTACCTCGTTGCTCGCGTTGTAGAGTGAGATGTGGGCTTAAAAGCACGTCAAACTCAATGTTCCTATTCTTATCTCTTTCTAGCAGCAAGCAAACCAAGCCGTTTCATCGCACTCTTCAACTTTAAAGCTTTTATTTGGTGTGCCAACGACTGCGACGTCAGCGTCGCCACAGACAGACAGAATTGCGCCCATACAAAGCAAAATTGACAGCGGTGGCAGTTTAGTTCCAATCGCCGGCTGCAGGAGTTCATTGTTGTTGACAGCTTTTGTGCCAAAGAAACTTAAACTACCAATACGGCATTATTTTGGTACGCCGTTTGCAAAAATAGAAGCGCCCCCCTTTGGTTAACAGGCGACATCTTAAGTTCACCACCTAAGCCAACATCCACGCGTATCGTTCTCAGAATGGCGTATCACAAGCCGGAAGCCAAGACTGTTCAGGATTTGAAAGATATTGCGCACAAGTTGCGTATTGATTCCATCAACTCGACCCAGGCCTCCAAATCTGGGTAAGCATACAATCACCTGAGGAAAAGTTGTGCACCTTGCACGCTCGAACGACTCTTAGGCCGGCAAAGGTGACCCCCGGCTTAAGGCTGCCAGGCCACGTGTTTTTCTCAATGCAACGCCGTTCTAAAAAAGCACATTTATTTTTTGCATTGCATACACGCACACATGCACATTAAGTGTGTCTGCGCGTACAAGTGTGTATGCGTTTGCATGGGATTTCAAATTCTTGTAGAAAAACTGCGATTAATGATTTGGTTGTGAATTTGCAAAATTGTTAATTAACCTTCACCGACCTTGACAAATGTAGCTTATTCAGTAAATTCAGCGTATCCAGTTTTAGGCACACACATTCACTTACGTGCGTGAGGCGTCGCAGCGGCGCTTCGTAGCTCAGTGTTCAAAAGCTCTTTGAATTTTGCGGCCAGTTGGCAACGCATTATAGCAATAACGGCAACAACAGAAAACAACACAAACATAATTTTTAATGGCCGCAAATCGCTACCACGCTCTGACGTTTTTATGACCTTTATGAGGGGTAACTAATTAAACTAAATGCACGATAAGCTAAGCAGTTAAAGTACGAGTTTATCATCAACTATTTCAATGCATTTTAGCGCAATGGGACTATTTGTTATCGCATCTTACTTTTCCACTTTACTGATAAGCCGCACTCAACATGCACAAGCGTCTGTATGTGTGTGGGAGTGACCTCTCTGTTACCCCCCGGGGTAAGCAGATAACCTACAGTTGCTTGGTTTGTCAGAGCTACAGCTAAAGATATGACCGATTACATATACATAGAGGTGACCGGCATTTCCATTCAACATAACCTTCAATAGTTCTTTATTGAGCAAAGGGCATCGCCAAGGGCCCCTACAAATCCATGCGAAATGCTTGTGTGCCCAGATCTATTTCTGCAGAACGTGCATATTTGAGACTAAAAACGGCAAACCGGTTTCTATGTCGAAATGTATACAAAACGTGTCGGCGATAAGGCCTTTTTATACATATAGATATATATATGTATGTGTACATATGTATGTGTGTAATGTATACAAATGTGGTCTGTAAGACGAGCCTCCACTTTGGATGCAGAATTTTCACAGCATATCGCGTTTATTTACATATATGATCAATTTTAGGGCTACGCACATGATCGTATGATTTTCAGATCGAACAAAAATAATAAATACTGAACTGTACATACATACATACATATGTATATATTCTATTCCGGTTGCTATATATGTACATATATACATTTATATATATATCCTATTTATATTTGTATATCCTATTTCCATATATCGTATTACGCACTTCTGTTGAATCCTTAAGTTAATCTTGTCTCTATTCCCTGTGCGCTACCCTTGCAGTCACCCAACATCATGCAGTTCCCTTGCCGAGATCATGTCCGTGCTGTTCTTCCAGCAGATGCGTTTGAACATGAAGCATCCCCGTGATCCCTCCAGCGATCGTCTGATCCTGTCAAAGGGTCATGCGGCCCCCATTTTGTATGCTGCCTGGGCAGAGGCTGGCTTGTTTCCCGTGGATGAGCTGAAGAACTTGCGCAAGATCGACAGCGATCTGGAGGGTCATCCGACGCCGCGTCTGAATTTCATAGATGTCGGCACTGGATCTCTAGGCCAGGGCGTCGCCGTGGGCGCTGGCATGGCGTATGTGGGCAAAAATTTCGATAAGGCCGACTATCGCACCTATGTGATTGTGGGCGATGGCGAATCCGCCGAGGGCTCCGTCTGGGAGTCGCTGCACTTTGCCGCCCACTATGGCCTGGACAATCTGTGCGTGATCTTCGATGTGAACAGGCTGGGCCAGTCGGAGCCCACCTCGCTGCAGCACAAAATGGATGTCTATCGGGATCGTTTGGAGGCGTTCGGCTTCAATGCGCTCGTCGTGGATGGCCACGATATCGAGGAGCTGTGCAAGGCGCTGCACTGTGCGGCCAGCACGAAGAGCAAGCCCACGGCCATCATTGCCAAGACGTTCAAGGGCAAGGACTTTCCGGAGATTGAGGATCTGGACAACTGGCATGGCAAGCCTTTGGGCGACAAGGCGCCCGGCGTCATCAATCATCTACAGAGCCTGATTGTCAATCAGAACGTCAAGCTGACGCCCAAGAAGATGTGCAAATCGGGCATGGCGCCTGAGGTGGACATCAATAATATTAAGCTGTGCGCACCGCCCAACTACAAGCTGGGCGATTCGGTGGCCACACGCCTGGCCTACGGCACAGCGCTGGCCAAGATTGGCGCCGACAACGATCGTGTGATTGCCCTCGATGGCGATACCAAGAACTCTACGTTCTCAGATAAGCTGCGCAATGCCTATCCGGAGCGTTATATTGAATGCTTCATTGCTGAACAGAATCTGGTGGGTGTGGCCATTGGTGCTGCCTGCCGTCGCCGCACCGTGGCCTTTGCCTCAACGTTTGCCACGTTCTTTACGCGCGCCTTCGATCAGATTCGCATGGGCGCCATCTCGCAGACGAACGTGAACTTTGTGGGTTCCCACTGTGGCTGCAGCATTGGCGAGGACGGTCCCTCACAGATGGGTCTGGAGGATATTGCATTGTTCCGCACTATTCCCGGCAGCACCGTCTTCTATCCCTCGGATGCGGTGAGCACCGAGCGTGCCGTCGAGCTGGCCGCCAATACAAAGGGCGTGTGCTTCATACGCACCTCGCGTCCCAATACGTGCGTCATCTACAACAACGATGAGAACTTTACCGTTGGACGCGGAAAGGTGGTGCGCCAAAAGCCCTCCGATGAGGTACTGCTCATTGGCGCCGGCATCACACTGTACGAGTGCCTGAGCGCCGCCGAGCAGCTGGAGAAGGAGTGCATCACGGCGCGTGTCATCGATCCCTTCACGGTGAAGCCACTCGACGTGGATCTGATTTTGGATCATGGCAAGCAGTGCGGCGGCCGTGTGGTTGTTGTAGAAGATCATTACCAGTAAGTCCCACAATCCCCCAGATTAGATTGGCTTCCTGTCAGGCTAAATTGCTTTCTCTTTTGTTTAATCCTATGTAGGCAAGGCGGTCTGGGCGAGGCTGTGCTCAGCGCTCTCGCCGAGCATCGCAATTTCGTGGTAAAGCATCTGTTTGTGCCCACGGTGCCACGCTCTGGACCACCGGCCGTTCTGATCGACATGTTTGGCATCTCTGCTCGGAATATTGTATGTGCCGTCAATAACATCATCAAGAAGTGAGCAATAGGACCTTCAATCCGGCAGCTCTATATATGCACACTAATTTCCATTTTCCACTATGTTAAAATACGAATTTTTTATTAAATTTACAATAAATTCTATTCGGTACAAGTAGTTATTGCATTTAAATAAACATGCATTTAAGCTAAAACCAAACCAAATCTGATGAAACGGTTACAACAGCATCGTTGTAACAGGCTGTTCGCTTGCCAGAGTATGTAAAACCAATACCCTGTCGTTTTTCGTTGTGTAGTCGTATTATACAGCAATACAGTACCGCGTGACTGTATGCCTATTCTATTCGCAAACAAATTATTGCATTTAAATATAACTGTAGCCTAAGGGCTTATCAAGCTGAAACCAAACTTATCGAACTATCGCTTTTTGTCACGTGGCAACTCTGTCAAAAAGTAGGCTGTTTATTTTAAAGACTATGTTATTTTTATCGTTTATTGTTTTCTGGCAGCACTGTTACAACAACAGTACAGTACGGATTGGTTGCATGCCTGCTGTGTGACCAGATCGCTTAAACGCAAAGAGCGGCAACATTTACAGCTACATTGTTGAAATTAACTGGCGCCCAAATTGTTGTGTGCAGCTTGAAATTTGTTGAAAGAGCAAAGAAAATTGCATAAATGTCGAGTGAAAGTGAGGAGTTCTACAGCGACGAAGAGACGGAAGTCGTCAGCAATACAACATCGGGTGAGTAAACTAAAAAATACTTGTAATTGTAAACAAAATCAACATTGAAATAAATTGTACGATTCACAAGGACGCTCCTCCAGTCGTAGCAGCGTCAGCGCTGGCCGTGCCTCTGGCGCCAGCCGTCGCAGCGTCGTCAGCAATCTGACTGTCGAGGAGTCGACTACGGATTCCGATGGTTCAAGCGTGCGTCAACCAGCAAAAAATGGCCAGCGAGCCGCCGGCCGCCGCCAAGCAGTGATTTATTCAGACAGCGATGAGGAGGACGAGCTGGATCAGCGAGCCCTGTCGCCGCGCACGCGCATGAGCATCACGGGTGTGCGGCCGGACGATATGAGCGATGGCTCCAGTGAGATTGACTACAGCGACGAAGAGGAGCGGCAGCCGCAGCAGCATCAGCAGTCTCGGCAGGAGCAGTCAAGCCTCAGCAACAGCGATCAAGCGGATGAGACCTACGACGAGGATGTGGAGCGCGAGCAGGCTGCCGCGGAGCGTTATCGCCGAGCCACCATCGATGGCCTGCACTCGCCACGTTACAGCACGCAATTCGCGACCAGTATAGAGGACACCTTGCACTCGACCCTCTTTCCCAACGAACAGCAACAGCTGCAGCTGGCGAAGTCGCCGAAAAACGATTCCTCTGGCAGCGATGTGCTTATCTTGAGCAACAAGGAGACGCCCATCGAGATCAGCAGCAGCACCGATAACGATGACAGTTACAATAAAGAAAATGCTTCGGGCTCATCGGCGTATGACCGAAAATCACGCGGCTACTCGCCACGCAGCAGCTCCGAGGCACCCAGGGTCCGATCCGGCAACAAATTAATACAGCCCACCATTAAGGCGGCCATTAAGAAGCAATCGCCACGGCGCGCCAGCGTCAAGGGCCAGCAGGTGTCGCCTGAATTCTACGAGAAGGAGTCGCGCAAAGTAACCGAAATGCACGTCCAGTTAAACGAGGCTGAGAAGCTGTACGAGAAGGTGGCCCACAAGCTGCCCGATAAGGGCATACAGATCAAGAAGCGCATCGATGCACTGCGTCAGGACATAGAAATTAAGCAAAAATATCTGTCCAGTCTCATTGTGCAGCAGGAGAAGCCACAAATCAAGGTCACCAAGCCGCGCGCCTCAAACTCACGTAAATCCCCAAATCCCGAGGCGCCCGACTGGGACCAGCTGTCCGCAGCGGTCAATCAAATACAGCCCACACACACGGGCGCCAAAGGCTTGGCGGCGTTCAACGCCATGAAGGCGCTCACAATTGATTCCCTCAAGGTGCGTACCGACTGCTTTATTCTGCAGCTAAGCCTTGCAAACAGTTTGCATGATGAGTTCTTCTAGAATGGATATCTGAGTTGCGTGCTGCCTCTGTTAGCGCCCAGGCACGAGTTACTGTGCGGGCGTCTTTCACGAGCACGCGCTGATTAAAAACCACACACACATCTCTGAACCAGCGTTCCCCTGGCCCTGGTCGATTGCCTGCTCGCATGAGACTCTAATATGCTCTTGTACTTTGTAGGATTTGCATGGCTCGTTAAAGGGCTGCCCGGCGGAGAATGTGATGGCAGATGAACCCAAAGGGTTGAAGGTGCAGCTGATGGACCATCAGCGGCATGCGCTGGCCTGGATGTCCTGGCGCGAAAAGCAGCGTCCACGCGGTGGCATCTTGGCCGATGACATGGGCCTGGGCAAAACGCTGACTATGATTGCCCTGGTGCTGGCATGTAAAAATGGGCTGGAGAGCGGCGCAGGCGCCGAATCTGCAAGCAGCGACGATGAAGACGATCCGGGCAAGAAGCGCAAAAGCGTGGGCGGTTGGACTTCCAAGGGACGCAAGGATAGTAAGTATCCCATTCGAATCCACTTAGTATAATCTTGATCCAACGCCATGTCGATATGTCTGCAATGGTATTTAATCTTCGGCAAGCTGAATAGCACTTTTGTCTCTTGGTTTTCAACTGATTTTGTGTTCTGCAGCTTACAAAGGTGGCACCCTGGTGGTTTGCCCCGCCAGTTTGCTGCGCCAATGGGAGGGTGAAGTCGCCTCCAAGCTGTCACGCCATCGTCTGACGGTCTGCGTACATCACGGCATACAACGCGAGACTAAGGGCAAGAATCTACGTACCTATGACATGGTGGTGACCACCTACAACATTGTCTCTAGGGAGCACAAGATGAATGGAGCATTGCATGGCGTAAAGTGGCGCCGAATCATATTGGATGAGGCGCATGTGGTGCGCAACTACAAGGCGCAATCATCGATGGCTGTTAGCGAGCTGCGCGGCACATATCGCTGGGCCCTAACGGGCACTCCAATTCAGAATAAGGAGCTGGACGTTTATGCGCTGCTCAAGTTTCTGCGCTGCTCGCCCTTTGATGATCTGGCCACGTGGAAGAAGTGGATCGATAACAAGAGTGCCGGTGGACAGGATCGCCTTAATTTGCTAATGAAGTCCCTAATGCTGCGACGCACCAAGGCCCAGCTGCAGCTTGATGGCAAGCTGAACAGTTTGCCCAAAAAGGAGATACGCTTGATTGAAATGAATCTCGATACGGACGAAATGAATGTGTACCAGAAGGTGATGGCTTTCTCGCAAACCCTGTTCGCACAGTTTCTGTTCCAGCGCGCCGAAAAGGATTCGGATGCCAATTTCATCAGCGATGCTCGCAAGCCCTCCTATAATCAGATCAAAGATTCCAATGGTGCTTACTATAAAATGCACGAGAAATTCTCGCGCATGGCCGGGCACAGCAAGGAGGTGAAATCCCATGAGATCCTGGTGCTGCTGCTGCGTCTCCGACAAATTTGCTGTCATCCCGGACTTATAGATTCGGTATACATTACAGATATACATATATACGCCTCTTTGAAACAATTTAATTCCTTCATTATTTTTTGTAGATGTTGGAAGAGGAGGGCGCTGGCAATTTGGGACACGATGACACCGATAGCTATTCACCCGAAATCGATTTGCTGGCTCAGCTGAATAAGATGACTATTAATGATAGCTCCAGTTCCAGCAGCTCGCGACGTTCCAGCAACGGCAGACACAGCGGCGATGAGGTGCGTCTGGCCAAGGCCTCCCAGAATGTGCTCAAGCGTAGCAATCCGGTGTTTAATCTCAAGCGTCCGTCCAGCAAAATGCTAAAAGTGCTAGAGATACTAAAGACCAACGTGCTGAAGTCCAAGGATAAGGCTATCATAGTATCCCAGTGGACATCGGTGCTGGATATTTTGCGTGATCTCTTGGAGAAGGAGAGGCTGCAGACCCTGTCGCTAAACGGCGCCATACCTGTAAAGAATCGTCAGGACATTGTTAATGAGTTCAACGATGAACGCAATCCCAAGCGCATTCTGTTGCTCTCCTTAACAGCTGGCGGTGTTGGCCTTAATCTAATTGGTGCCAATCATTTAATACTACTCGATCTGCACTGGAATCCACAGTTGGAGGCACAGGCGCAGGATCGCATATATCGTGTGGGCCAAAAAAAGGATGTCATCATATATAAGATTGTATGCCTGGACACCGTGGAGCAGCGCATCAAGGCGCTGCAGGATCGCAAACTGGAGCTGGCCGACGGTGTGCTGACCGGCAAGGTCAGCACCAAGCTGTCCATCGACGATCTCAAGGGTCTCTTTGGCATGTAGGCGCTAAATATTTCGAAAATCTCTAGGCTGCAGTGCTGAGCATTGGGCAAACAGAAAGGCCATTTAAGATTTTTATTTACAGCAAAACAAACTTCTTTATTCAATTGAAAACTTTATTTTGAAGCATTTGATTTCTATTTTAGTTTTGCATTTAGGCCTTAGCTACGATCAAATTTGATGTGTTTTAAAATTTTAATGTTTTATGTTTAATGTTTAATTGTTTAATTGATTTACTTGTTAGATGAAAGGAAATTGTTTTATTGTTTAAGCAAATGCAAAAAAAAATAATGGAAATTCAACTACAATTTGAATAGCATAACGTTTTTGGTTCTTGTCAATTCTAAGTAACACACATGCACACACATTTTCTACACACACACACACACACACACATACACACAATAAAGTACATACATGTTTTATAAAAACTTAGCTTAAAACTAGAAATTACTTAAAGTAGAAGCCAGTTTTTCCTACACAACTGCCCAGTCAATTAAAAAAAATAATAATATTAAAAAAAACTGCCTGCTTTCTTTGCACATGACAGCGCACAGCCCAAGGAAATGTAACGTTTTGCAGGGTGGGGGGAAAGAAAAGACATACATAATTTGTTTAATTTAAAATTGGTTTGCTGCAAGCTTTCGTAATCTCAAATATTAAGTATTATACGCATACATATTGTTAAAACAGTTTACTAATTAGCCAAATGCTGTACAGGTTTATCGAATAGGTTTTTCGTTTTCTTTTAAATGGTGCTCTATGCGGTGCCAGCTTAGGACTAGATATCTGTGTGTATTTTCCTGCGCTTCCTTATTAATATTATGAAAAGTATTATGTATGTGTGCATAGTACAGTGAAAGCTCTGCTAACGGACACCTGCCAATATTTATTTACTCTAAAAATTAAATGGCAAAAAAATGAAACTAAAAGTTGAAGGGCTGAGTAAAAACTTGGAAGCATTCGACAAAAATTAATATCTTAAAAAAATGGAAAATTTCCTAAATGTCCATTAAAATTTATTTTTAACATTAAAATATTGAATAATTTAAAAAAAACTTCAGAAATTTGTGTTTGCAATATAATTAAATGATTTTTTAACAGCTGCTTTTCATTATTTATTTTTAAACATTTTCTTAACGTACCTCGGCTGTCCGCTCTAGAGAGTTTTCACTGTATGTATATGTACTATTTGTATACCATACGCTAAGTATATTTCTTGTTATAATTTTATCAGCACAGTTTTTGTCATTGATTACCTTTGCTTTAGACTTAAGTTGAGATCAATTTGAATATTCATTAGGCGCAACACCTGCTTTTCCAGGGTATTACGGACTTCTCTAGTATATGTCTGCATATGTCATAGTTCGAAGAGAAAACAATGTGTGTGTAGGATTAGCATATTATTATTGTTGTTGTTGTTGTTGTTGTTATTATTACTATTATTTATAAACTATGCCACTGGGAAACTGTTGTCGAGCTTGAAGTTTGTAAGTTGTGTGGACCAGCTCCAGGACAGCCAGATTTTTAATTATCGCTAAACGCGCGAGTGGAAGAGAAATATGCGAAAAGTATTAGTTAAATCATAAAAGAAAACGCATTCAATTTGCCCTAAGCTCTGGGGCCAGTTTACCAATTAGCCGAAAATTCAATATCATATTGGTAATCTGGAGACTTGAGCATAAAAACAGTTTTAATGGTAACGACCGCTGGCATATGCAATCCCATAATCCCAGCGTGCCCATATGGGTGCAATGTCTCTGGCCGTAAAAGGCATTAAAATCATTGTAATGCCAGCCAAGGAGGCAGCCGGCGCAATCCTGGGCCTGCAGCCCTACCTGGCCGGGAAGGATGAGCTGCTCACCGGGCGCTCGTAAAACCAAATTTTATAGCAAAGTGCGACGGACGACGAGAACCTTGTCCAGCCAGAAAGTTGACTTGGAATTGGACTTCTGATTCCGGGCGCAGCTGCATTTGTCTCGCTTCTTCTTCTTCTTCTTCTTACATTCTTTATAATGCCAAATGTGATTTTTATGGGGCACTTTAAGATAATGCAGCAGCAACTCTCAACTTTGGCGGATTCTCAATTGTCACAGTCGAACTAATTGCAAACGGGCTGAATGAACATTGAAAAGCACTTTGATATATGTATATTTATCGAATGTATCGAATGCATATACAAAAGGATAAGTACATAAATTGCCAAGTGCTGTCCACAACAATCTGTTGGATATATGTATCCCCCCTCAAAGTAGCTACTTCAATTGATTGTTCATTTCTCGCATTTATGTATACACTTTCTCCTGTGGAGCATGCTCAATTTGTTGGCAAGTGTGATGCAAGGTTTTACAAAAAATGCCGTCTACCTAACCCTAAACTTTTATTATTAAAATCTATGGAGTAATTAGAGCTTGATTGTTCACATTGCATTATATCCTGAATATATACCCTGATCTAACTTGGTAATGCTTCAAGCTTCCTGTACTTATACTATATATGTTTAAGCGGTCGCAAGAAAAGCTTGGCTTAGCTAACGATCTGTTTGTGTATATAGCATATATCTATTTATCTATATGTGAACTCTGTTAGTCCTGAATTTAAAGTCCTATATATTATTTTATAATTGTTTAATCCTTTAACCTAGCATTCTATCTATGACATATTTTGATTTAGCTTTTCATCTTTATCGCTATTAATTTATGTTTTATATCTTTTATAACGATCTTAAGATATGCTTGGCTTAACTATCGATCTGTGTGTGTATATATATATAATCGATCTATTTTTTTTATATATTTTTAACATATATCTATTAGTCTGGAATTTGTAATAAAATTTAGAGATCTTATAATAATAACCTTTGAAAGTCCTTTTGCCCATATATTATAATATATAATTATCTTTTATCTTATATTCTAGCTCTAGTTATAGCTTCCTTGATTTATGTATGTACATATTTCTATTCCATATACATCGATATATCTATCTTTTAAGGATCTGAAGAAAAGCAAACTAAAAATTGATTCAACTATCTATCTGTTTTAATATTGGATTGGATGTGTAGAGTATGCCTGGTTCGTTGTTTAACTATGTATTTTTCTCGATTCTCGTTTTGTTTATTTGCTCGACTCAACTTTTTATGATCGGCCACAAAAATTTCCACTGAAAAATGAGTAGCTGAAGAAGTGCTCAGGGCAGGCGCGCTTTATTCGAGTCGATGCTTTTGGCTCCGGCTCCGGCTGCGGCTGCGGCTGCGGCTGCGGCTCTGGCCCTGCACATCATATACATATTGTTTATTTTTTAATAATGCGTGTCCACTAAAAAAAAAAAAGAAAACGGCGTAACGCGGCACCATAAAAACCGGAGAGCGCCCAACACGCAAACCAAACGAGAGGCGAACAATAATAAACACAAGCCGAATTATCCTATAGAGGCAACTGGCAGGAGGCCAAGAGGGGAGGAGGAGGGGGAGGGGGGGGGTTGTTGTTCGGGTCGAAATTTGAGCAGCATAAGCTGAAACTGAAACTCCGAAACTCGCTCGCAAAACTATAATATTCTTCTTGTTTTTTTCTTGTTATTCTTATTTTTTATTTTTATTTTTATTTTTATGGCAAGCATTGCATTTATTATGGTTCGCCTCGACCTCGACGAGGAGCAGGGCATTAAAAAAAACTTAGGGATTTGCTGTTTGTATTTTTGTATTTTTGTATTTTGTTTTTTTAATGACGACTCAACGGAAATTAGAAATCAGCGGAAATTGCGCGACATCACAAAAGCACAAAATACATATAATGTATGTTGTTTATTGTTTATATATTTACGCGATGTGAATGTGAATTTCGAATGCTTGAAATGATCTTTTAAGTGCTTAAATAAGCACTTTACAAAGTTGTGAGAGGAGAACTTTAAGAGCCACATTACTGTAAGATCAAAAGGAAAGAGAGATTTTGCTAAACCCAAAGCTGACAGCTATCAGATACAGTTTAGCTAAATGATATGCCCAGGGCCCAGGCTATCTATGCTTTGGTATTTTTTTTAATCACACCAGTTTTGAATAAATATAGTTCGGCTCTGGTTCGACTAGATATTGGAAAACTGGTTCGGTTTAAGGTACGGCTCATGTGAAAAAGTATATTTGAATCCGGATACGAACTGGTTCCGTTCAAAACAGTTTACCAGCCTTTGTATAATATTTTATTATTCTTTGAGTCAAGCCATTTTGGAAAAAATTTAGTTTCATTTTTGTTCTGGTTCGACTAGTTTTTGATAAACTGGTTTGGTTTAAGGTACGGCTCATGTGAAAAAGTTAATTTAAATCCGGATACGAACTGGTTCCGTTTGTATATTTTATTTTGAGTCAAGCCATTTTGGAATAAATTTGGTTTCATTCTTGTTTTGGTTCGAATGGTTTTTGATAAACTGGTTCGGTTTAAGGTACGGCTCATGTGAAAAATTTAATTTGAATCCGGATACGAACTGGTTCCGTTCCAAACAGTTTACCAGCCTTTGTATATTTTATTTTGAGTTAAGCCATTTTGGAATAAATATGGTTCCATTATTGTTCTTGTTCGAATGGTTTTGATAAACTGGTTCGGTCTAAGGTACGGCTCATGTGAAAAAGTATATTTGAATCCGGATACGAACTGGTTCCGTTCCAAACAGTTTACCAGCCTTTGTATATTTTATTTTGAGTCAAGCCATTTTGGAGTAAATATGGTTCCGTTCTGGTTCTGGTTCGACTGGTTTTTGATAAACTGGTTCGGTTTAAGGTACGGCTCATGTGAAAAAGTATATTTGAATCCGGATAGCTCGTATTCGTTACAAGCCGGTTATCAGCCTTGGTTAGGAGCATAATAGTGATCGGTTCTTAAAAATTAACTGCCTCATCATAGCTATAAAAGTTCTTTGAAGTCGCATATGTTCACTTCTGTGCGTTACCTATTCCGTGACACAACTATAGTACCCTCTGCAAGGGTATAGACACGATCAAGCAAAGACTATTAAGTGCGTGGCCAGCCAAAGTGTTTAAGATTTAAATGCCAAATTTTGGGCGCATGCCAAGATTAACTCATATGTAAATCTTCTAGCTATATGTCCGATGGGGCGACATCCGTTAAAAAAATGTTCGAGCAAAATTTTCACAACAATTTAACAAGAAAATTGGCTTGGAAAACGCTTGGCGCACGTCGCACTCAAGTACCTCAATTGTTTGGCGCAGGAAGAGCGCCAAAATGAAATTGAACAAAAAGCATTGCACCTTTTATATGACGGCCAGAAGGTGTGCGAAGCGGTAACAAAATATCGTTAAATGGAAACTTATGCATTTATTGCCATTTTGGGCGAACAGCAAGCGGCAAGCGGCAAGCGGCAGGTGGAGCAGCAGTCAAAGGAATTGAAGTGCCATTCGCCAGGATATAGTTTTGTGTGTGCGTGAAATGAAACAAATGAAATGCAGCCAGGAGCAGGTCCTGCTGCCACGGGGAGCCTGGGCGGCTCGTAAAAGTTTCGCATTGTTTGGCTCTTTTTATGGCCGCTGCATTTTCAGTTGAATAATTGTTGTTGATTTCTGCTCAGTTGCTGATAAGTTTGATTTGTCCGGCGCCCAGACAACAAACTCTGGAATAGTTCTCTACGACTCTCTCAGCCAGTGCTGCCAATTTTTGAGAAGCACGATAGCTGAGTTCTAGAGCTCGGCAAAATAAAACAAGAATCGAATCTGAAAACATTAATATTCAAAAAATATTATGAATCAAATAAAAAATTTGAATCAAATAAACCCTGCGCGTTGTCTTCAAATTTCAATCGCAAACAAGCATTTCAAAATGCCTGCTTTAGCGGTAATCGAGCGAAATGGGCAGCACTGGCAATCGATTAAAAAAATCTTATAAATATAATAAAAAATTGAAGTTCAATAAACGCTGCGCGTTGTCTTCAAATTTCAACCGCAAACAAACATTTCAAAATTCCTGCTTTATCGTTAATCGAGCGAAATGGGCAGCACTGGCAATCCCTGCCTCCCCAATCCTCCCGCTCCATTCTGCTGCCTTTTGACTTTGTAGTCGCAGTGCGCAATTTAATTGCTGCCAAAAGTGAGTCGCACAGCCCTTTGCCTAGGCTTACAGAAATACTTGGACATGCTATATACTATATATAAAAATAAAAAAACCAAAAAAATACCCCAACTATAAGTAAAAGAAAAAAAGGGAATATTTTCACGCAGCAGATCTCGTGCGTTGCCAGTTTTATGATGCACTCGTAAAAACTGACGACGCGCCTTTGATGCGAAATGCCACAGGAGATGAGATGAGGCGAGTCGAGCTGCGGGGCGGGGCAAGGCGAGTGGAGTTGAGGTTTTAATGTGCCGAAAGGGCGCACAAACAATCGAATAGGATAGCACGGAACAAACTGAACAATTCTAGACAAGATTTAGATGCTGCGTTTGTTGCAAAATGCGTATATATATTTTATTACCTTTCGACCAGACAGACATTGAAATATGCATTCTGAAGTATCGTAAAATGTACGTGTGTGTGCGTGTGTGTGTGCGAAAAGTTTTGATGTGGCATTGTGAAGGGGCAAAACATTATGATATTTGTGGCTGCAAAACATAAATGCCAAAGCGAGTGGCAAGTGGCGAGTGGCAAGTGGCAAGTAGAAATAAGAGACGAACCTGCGCTGGCATTTCTTGAAATGATGCCCCGCCTGACGCCACTTGAGTTTTTAATTAAAGCCAAGCATCAGAAACAAAAGGCAACAAAATGTTGAAGCTTAACTAAAATGCCAGCCAGCATGGAAATTTAACACTTGCCCCTAAATTAACGAACGACAACAGCAACAACAACGACAACAATTGGCCAAAGCGAATGCTTCAATTGTCAGCACAGAAGCAAGCAACGTGCCCCGTGCCACGCGGTGGCGTCAGGAGGGAGCAGGGCAGGGGGGGGGGGGGCAGCAAAAAGAGGAATTGTGTTTTGCAGCAGCTTTTGTTACCACGTTGCAGCCATCAGGCGAAATGATGAAAAAGCCATTGCATACTTTCGTGCGCAGCCCGGAAATGCAAGCAGCAGCCGCCGGAAATGGAAATGAAAACTGCAAGTGGCAAGTGGCAAGCTGCAAGCGGCAAGCGGCAAGTTGCAAGTGGCAACCATTGCCGCAGCAGGCAACCAACTTAAATTGTAAACATAAAACTATGCTGCGAAATTGATTTGATTAAAGGCAACGCGTTTGGTCCTGCATGCCAAATAAGTTCAAGACGCACCAAATAAACACAATAGAGTCGCAGCTGAAATACCCTTTACCATATAAAGAGGATAGGGTATTTGAGTACTAAGCTCTAGTATGATGGGAATAGAACTTATATTGTTTCGGACCAATTTTTTTACCTACATAGAGTTGTACCACATCTAGCTCTTAGTCCTATTGGAAAATAACGGGCTTCCGGTTGATTGGGTTTACTTACACAAAGAGCACAGCTGCTGCAGCTGCTGCAGCAGCGGCAGCAACGTGGCGATACTGCTACGTGGCTGCTGCAGCCGCTGCAACGGCCGCGGCGGACGTTGAGCTGACCAGATGCTGGCCGTGATGATGATGATGATGATGATGATAGGCGCCATTGCTGTTCCCGTTGCTGCTGCTGTGCGCCGGCGGCGGTGTGGTGGGCGTTCCGGAGCGCGAGCGCTGCTGCTGCTGATGATGATGGCCGCCGGGCGTCGTGATGGTGGCCACGGTGGTGACCAGCGTGGGTGAGGCAGCTGAATGTGCGGTGCCATTGCTGCTGGCGGGACGCGATAGTTTCTGGTGAGGATTGGATGCGCCTAGCGCTGTCTCAGCTGCCGGACTGGGTGGCGTGCGGCTCAGGGACAGCGGCTCCGGAGTTGGCGGTCGGATTTGAGTCAGCGGCAGGTGCGTAAAGTGTGTGCCGTAGCGCTCGATGCTGGGGTAGGTCAGGTACATGGGCGCTCCGCTCGTATGCAAGCCGATGGCCATGGGTGTGTAGTAGTTGTAATAGATTTGCGCTACAATTCGGTTTATTTCTACACGCGCTGTGAAACGAATAGAACGTATGTCAATAAATTTATACAAAATATATGGTCACCCTGGCGCCGCTAGATGGCGCGATGGCGCAGTCAGCCTTCGAAATTCGAATTTCAAATAGATTTTTACTTGGCTATGCATTGGAAACATGCTGTCAAAGTTATGACTGGGCGATTTTGAGAAATTTATGTAAATACGGCAAATAAATATGAGCTGTGCTCGCCCTCGTCGCACGTAGCCGAGTTTATAACTTATATCGTTAAATTTGCTGGGTTTTCACACTTTTCAGCGCATAACTTATAAACTATTGAAGCCATAACATTAACTATGCCCGGCACTAAAAGTCTATGTCCCGGCCCAAGATATGCGCCATTTTCGTTGGTGGCGCGCACACACATGGGTCGCCGCGGCATGCCTTTATGTGCAACCTTCGCACACACAATGAACCCCAATCCGTGGCAGAGTTAAGCCCAACCCCCGTCAGAGGCAGAACCTTTGTTTGCCGCACCCAACTTTCTGTACCCCCCCATTTACCCCCTTCGACTTATCTGTGTGGCAAAAACTTTTCAAAATTTTACTGCTTGCTGCAACATCAAAATGCCAAGTTTTTACGATTACGTTGCTGCTGCTGCTGCTGCAATTTTACTTAATTTTAATGGGATTTTTTCTTCCGCCAACTGCAGAATGCATTAAACAGAGCCCAGGCACACGGGTGTATTACGCATGAGTGTGCCACAGGCTCGGGCTAAACACCGTACGCACATAGAGGTACGTGTGCTTCTAACTCTAACCTAACATTAACGTATTTGGCCAAGGTACAGTTAAGTAATGTCGGAGAACTAATGCCAGTCCGAAATAAAAAGTCGTAAAGCTTGAACAAGCCCGTACATTAAATTTGCTGGACTGGGATTAATTAAGTGAGTGCACATCTTAAACAGCAGGTCAAAGTTTTCTGTGAAAGCATCTTGCCTTTTAACAAGCGCAGTATAAAGGAGTCAAAAGTATATATATATTTTTTTTTTATCCCGTTTCCCATATGCCCAAAGTTAACCGATAGTTTTTAAATAAATGAGTTACCCTATACTATGTTAGTTTCACGAATTTAAGGTGACCCCATAATTGAGTTTAAGCCGTTATTCCTATAATAAATTGCCTGGCGCAGCCAACATAATACGTAAGCTACTTATACTGCCAGATTGTTTATAAGCGCGGCTGCCATTTAAATATAAAATGTTAATTATACCAAATACCAATGTATTGTCAAATGTGAGGTAATTGTAAGCAATAAAAAAAACTAAAAAATTGTAATCGTAAAATTTTAAAACATACGATATTTAAATTAGTTTTACATTTATTTGTTGCACATATGGCAGCCGTGTTTACAAGCAACAAGTCGTAAATTAAATCCATGTGGCAACACCTGAAAAGCCAAGCTTGCAAAAATCAAAGTGTGCTCATTTTAATAGTGCTCCGATAACTTTTGAATCAATTTAAGGTAAGCTCAATACATTTTTTTGTATTTGTCTTTGTCCCCTCCCCCCACACCCCCGCGGGATGCTTTTAATCAGCACGTTTGCAGGCCACAAAACCTTGGCAATAACTTTACGCTTGACTGGGTTAGCGGGTGACAGCAGATGACAACAAGAGCAGCAGCCGCAGCAGCAGCAGCCGCAGCAGCAGCCGCAGCCGCAGCAGCGGCAATCAGCTAAAGCTCGGTCAATTTAATGGAAGTAGCCATGTCCAGGCCACATTTATGACAAACTGGCTGCTTATTATTAAGCCAGGCAGCAAACCAGCCAAGGAGTTGCCAGCTGCCAGCACTAATATATCATGGCTCCTTTTCTATATAAATATACACTCAGAGAAGAACGCTGTTAGAAATGATTTAATATGCGCAGCAGTCATATTGCTTTGTTCTTCAAATTTCAAGCACATTTTATTCCGGAAATAGGCTGCAAATCTAACCGAATAAGATCTTGAAATTATTTCAATCGGAAGCTAGAAACTTATTAGCACTTTTTCGCTGAGTGTGTATATAGTTTTTGTATATACATACATATATGATGTCTGGCACAAGTGGCAGCTAGTTGGGGCATGCATGTTACTTGTAGAGCCGTAAAATGTCAGTTGCTGGAGTACGAGCCGTATTGGCCGTGGCAGTTGACGCTGCACATTTTTTACGATCCGCCCACAATATGAAGTCGTAAAGTTGAAATTTTTCGCTTCCTGCCGCTGCTGCCGCTGCTGCTGCTGCTGCTCTCTTTTCTATAGTATTTAATAAGCATTGGCAAATGGAAGTCACTCTCTTGGCTCTCATTTTTGTTTTCCCCGAATGCCAAGCTGTAGGAATTTGTAGTATTCCTCCCGAGGGCAGGGTTTAAATGCATTCACATCATGATGAGCTGGGTCTCTAAAAAAAAATGACTAGTGCCGAGTCTATTTTATGGGTTAACGTTGCAAAAGACAGGACTTAAAATATGACCGAAACAGGGATGAGGAATGTGTCATAAAAACAGCCGTAAGCTGACTCATTTGCCTAAATGGGCGTGAAAGCTCATAAATAGTGGGGCCGGGCAACGAGCTGTGAGCAATGGGTTGGCTAGAGGTTAGCCATGAGTAAGTAGAGATCTCTATAGATAGGAGGAAAACTGAAACTAGAAAATTTCCCAGAAGTTTAGTTAACTACTTAATCACCCGACAAAATTATGGGGAATTGTTATTGTAGGTTTAAATTGTGCTTCATGTGCCTGCAGTGCTTTGCATCGGACTAACAAGCGAGTGGTCGCCGGCTCAAGTCCAGACGATACCGGGTAATTCCTTCTAGTAATGAATATATATATATAGTTTATGGTAGCGGGACTGCCGTTTTCGTGACAAATCAAGGGTATCAACAAAATAAATTAACAACTTTTCGTTTGTAAATCGGTTTTTGCGCAGTTCCCAAATTTTATGTGCCCCCTACACCAACTGCTACCCCCCGTCCGCCCGTCAACCATTCGAGCATAAACACTTTTAAGCTTTATAGCGCCCACATTTACACGTCGCATTGCCTACCCAGAGTAAGCCCCCACTCCACACAAACATACGGCACCACTATATTCATGATATTCCCTGCTCCCCCCAACCCAGCCTGGACGTGTTTAGTGCCAGCCAACGATGCTGCGATATTATTGTAGCTACTACCTGGCAGCTTTCCCATGCAACTACCCAGCCAGGTTGATGGGAAGCGGGAGTGGAAGCCGGGAGTGGAAACAGGGAGCGGTAGCGGAAGCTCGATGGGGATTGGGTTAAACTGAAGCTGGAAGCCTTTCAGTGACGGTGTTGGCAATGTCGTAAATTTTTCGCATGCATTTTTCGGTTTAATGATGCATTTACGATGCCAGCAGCGGCGACAACAACAGCAGCTCCAGCTCCAGCTCCCAGCTCCAGCTCCCAGCTTCAGCTCCCAGCTCTCCAGCTCCAACTGCCCTGAAGTGAAATGCTGGAACGTGTAACGGTTCTGGTGAAATGGCAAACAACTTGAGAAAGCAATCGTTACAATTTTTTAATGATATACAGGCAGCTGATACTCTGCCAAAGACAATTTCCCTTGCCCAGCTATTCAGCTAGATGGGGAATTTCTCTCCTAATGTTGCGCCTTTTCTTTTGTTTGAAGAAAATATTTTATTTTTGTTTACATTATAATTTTTTATAGTATTTTGTTGTTGTTGTAACTTGGCATATGATTTATGAACTGCTTAAATCAATAACAATATTTATACATAGATAATAGGTATATCGTTAGACATTACATAAACATATAGACTGAATATCTGGAGTTTCTGCATTTTTACATAGTATAAATATTGAAACTATTTATTAGAATATTTTGAAAGTTTGTTGCAATCTGCACTCAAAAATGTTCAAAAATCGCCACAAAATAAAAATGTTCCTAATTACAGAACATTTTCATGTTAAATAGGATGTTCTTTTATTTAGATAAAAATTTGCCTTAAATATAAATTGTTCGATAAATTGATAAATTTGCTAAAATTTCGAAAATTTTTGATTTTTTTGGCGATATTTAAAAATTTAATATGCAATTTTTTTGAGAGCGTATTTCATAGATATCTTTCTTATTTTGGAAGTGGAAATCTGTATTTAAATTTAGGCAAGTGCGAGATTAGCTTTGAAATTTAAATCTTATATCAATCTAAAATTAAGTTTAAACAAATAAAAGTAGCTTTAGTTTGGCGCGGTGCTAGGCTAGCTTGGACTTAATTAGAATTTAAATTAAATTTATTTTCAAATTTTTAAATTCCAATTTGATATAGTTAACAAGTTTTGTGCTCAGATCTTAACTATGGTGCATTTATTCTTATCAAATTTTATTTTTAATATAAGAATTCATTTTCTAGCTGCAAATATCGGATGAGTTTTGGTATCTAGAGCATAAGCATGATTATCTTAGGAGTTCTCGCCAGCCTGCCTAGACAGCGCCCTTAGAAACTTAAGCCTAAAAACTTCAGCTTAACTAAAGCTAACTTAGAAGAACTTGACATTTAGATTTAACTAAAGCTAAACAACCGTTGGATAGACTTTTCCTAGCACGTTTTTACTGGTAGCGTTGATCTGAGGATGTTTTCAACAGCTTTTAACAATCAGATTTGACAAGAGGTTTTGTTGCGTGTTGCTCTCTGTGGGTATGTTGATTGAAGAGTAGATCATCATCTTTATAGGGTATGTTGATTGAAGAGTTTGTCGTACATCAATGCCAGGGTATGTTGATTGAAGAATGCTGTTCTGTTGCGTGTGTATTTGGTTTGTTGATTGAAGATATTTCCAAGCGGTAGTTGAAATAAATTCGCTTACAATAAATTCGAAATATATTTACAGAGGTTCCTTCTTTTTTTATTTTACTGCAACTCGCGCGCGTTTTTAAGCTTTAAGCTAAATATTAAATATGTTTTTTTAAGTTGAAGTTGACGTGAAACAATAAATAGAAAGCTAGGCAAACTTTTTTTTACTATATATGTATATATATATAGTTTGATTAATAGAAAAATTATCATCCACATTGCCGCGTTGTGTTGCGTAGCTCACCCCCGTCATAGATATTTAAATTGTTTTGACGGGAGTATTCATTGACAACATACTGGCCTAATGATTGATCAGATCGAAAGATATATGTATCACATATTATATTAAAACAATGCTCAGTGTTTTCGCTTTAGCTTACTTCTAAAACTATATAGGTTTTGTTTTTGGCTTACCCTCTTCGATGCGACGTGAAGCCTCATCAATATCTGCGCCAGCATCTTTTAATATCACATACATGAGCGGCATCAGCTCCCAGGGATAACGAAACTTCTCCAACAGCTTTTGACAATAGTCTAGGAAAACATCCTGGCCTGTAAAGGGAGACACAAAATACAAATATATTGGGACTTTATGGATAATGCATAATGCGCTTATATCGTGCACGTTCTCATGACATTCAAGTATCCGGTCGTCATTAAATACAAAGTTCAGTCAACTCACGGCTCCGATCGTCATAAACAATTTAGCTGAGACCCATTCAAGATATCAACATAAATAAATAAAGCCAAGCTGGAGCCGTGCAACGCGGCGTATACGCAACGTCCATTGATATTATTCATTTTCAGCTGTGCGAGCGTTTTTTATTCTCATTCAAATCGTGCGGCTGGCAACATGAAACCCCATTCAAATCGTCGGACGCAGCTATGTCAAGTGTAAACATGGCGGTAAAATCGTGGGCACAAATTGTAATCCAATACGACACAATAAACGGAGTAGTATTCCGATTGGGACTTATAGCTGAGATCAGCACAGGCCAAAAGATCGGAAGCTCTTGTAAACTGTCTGAGAGTGCACAAAAATGAAATGAATATACAAAGTGAAATATTCAAGAAAGCAGATATCATTTTTGTGGCATGCAAATTGTTGTTACTCTCATAAATCTAATTTCTATGTGCAACCAGGTGATTCTTCCGCCAGTCGGCACTTTTCTTATCTGACAAACGCAAATTCTTGGTTGCTTTTAAAGGTTTTGCTTAAAACAAGCCACTATCCAAAAGTAGAAGTCCCAATTTCCATTTGTTTGTTTTTCAGATTATATATTATATATATATTCAGGTCGCATCTGACCTTAGCGACAGCATTGTCGGAAATGTTGTATCTCTATGTATAAAGCTGTTTGTCCTGACTGACTGATTGACTTATTGACTAACTGAATGGTGATCAACCGTAAGAGCTGGGAAGCTGAAATTTTGATGTAGGTGCACGTTAAGACGGGGTTTCGGAAAACTCCACCCGCAAGTGTGAAAGAATCACGAAAAAAGGTTTGTATACAAAGATCTTTGTTTAAATTCATTTGAGGGGTGTTTCACACTTTTCGCAAAATGCATTCCTCCTTGGTAGAAATAAGGTTCTAAGATTTGGTGGGTGACTTTTCGCTCTCAAATTCATTTCCAAGGATATATATGAAAAATCATTTGAGACTTGTTTCAAAATCAAACCAACCTTGGTGGAAAGTGTGATTCTAAATTTTTATTTGTGCAGTTTTCACTTTTGTCCGATTTGCATCAAACTTATTTTTAAAGCTCCACATAAGAACTTAATTAATACGTGCTTCAACGATTTGGGAAATTTCACCCACAACAGTGGTAAATTGGCGGAAAACGGTTGTATGATTGTTTTTTGTCTACCGTCCGATCGGTTTCAAACTCATTTTCAAAGATCATTGAGAGAATTTATGTTAGACGTGCCACGAGCAAGGCTGAGGTATACCCGCTGGTATTTTATATTTTTATATATGATTATAGATAGTTAAATTCTCTTCAATTAATTAATTATTCTTTATATCTGTTTTTCAGTTAATGCAAAAAAGAATTGTGTCAAACTGTCAAGGTGTGCTTTTATTTTTTTTCTAATTTTTTTCTGTGATTTTTTTTTCTGTGTTTAAAGAAAAATTAATAATATATTTATTTTTTCTGTATTTAATTGTGTTGCCTCATTTGGGATAAATTGTTTAATTTTTAAGAAAGAAAAAGTAAAAAAGAAAAATTGTTTAAATTCCTAATTTAATATTTTTTCCAAATTTTTTTTCTGTGTCACAAATAAGTTTAAGTGTGTTTCCTGTTTTGTGATAAAAATGTTCTTAGTTTTTTGACAAAAAGAAGCTGTTGAAAATGATATATAAGAAGGTAAGTACATCAATCTATTATTCAATTTAATTCGAAAACTATCAAAATCAGCTTTAAAATCGAAAATTGCTGTTGAATTTGAACTGGCGACCAGCCGTTTATTGTTCCGACGCTCAAACTGACAAAACTCTGACTTTAAGTCTGACTCTAGTATGATATGTATAGATAAATAAAATATATCGTTTTTTGTTGTGAAATATAATATGAAAATCGACATTTAAAATTTGCTCATAAATGGAAAGATTTCGAACCAAAACCAGTTTCTGAATCGAACCCAAACTAAAGCCAAGGCGTTGGCATAAATTGTTGGTTATGGTATAAACATATAAAATATCTATTTATTTCATATATATTACGTTTATATGCATATTAATTAGTTATGTATATAACACACACATTTTATATACATAAATCTAATTGCTGTCGTAATTCGTCGTATATTTATTTAAATTTTCAAGTCGAATCTTCGTCTGTTGCTTCGTGTCTTAGTTGCGCTTCTTCTATGCTCGCTATGTTCGCTTTATGCGCTGCCATTTTTTTCTTTTTACCTACACAGGCAGCAGCAGCAGCAAGAAGAACAACAACAACAGCGTGAACAAATGGCAGCTGCTGCGCTGCCGTCGTCGTCGTCGTCGTCGTCGGTAGTTTCCGTAGTAGGCGGAGCTTCATAGTCATTGGCCCGTTTTATTATGTTTCTCTCTCTTCTCCATTTCGCCTTTGCTGTGGCTGTCGCTCTTGTTGTTGCTGCTGTTATGTTGTATGCAACTGCTGCGCTGAGTAGTTGGCGCTTCGTTCTTGTTGTTGTTGTTGTCGCTGTTCGTGTTGCTGTGGCGCACGTTTTGCATTGGTGAGCAAAGTGTCTGTGTGTGTGTGTGAAACGTGTTTTATGCTTTGCGTGTGCAGCGGTTGTTGTTCTTGCCGTTGTTTAGTTTACATAATTTGTGTTGTATACACATGTACTTATGCATATGTATTTGTATCTGTGTATGCGTTTTTATATATAAACTGCTTGCACGCATTGCCTGCTGTTGTTGTTGTATCTATTATAGTTGTTGTTGCTTTTTTGTTCTTTGCCATTTTTAATTTAGTAATTAAGCCATTAGCCGCTTTGTGTGTTGGGTTTTTGTTTTGTTTTTATACGCCTTATTTGCATTTTATGCTTAAAAATTATTTTATTAATCGCATATAAATTTAATAAATTGATTTATTGTTGCCACAGCCTTACGAACAAAAACTATTTGATTGGCCAATTAGTTTTGCCATTTCTATATGGGATAAAAATGATCAATTTTATTGGCTTAGCGCTGATTGAGTGGGTATTTTGGGCGGTAGACCGCTGAATTTAAATATTTTTTAATTTTTTATAATTGAATTCTATTCAATTTTGAATAGTGGCTTTCTATATTCTAATAAAATAATTATCTATTAAATTTTGAGCTTTGCTATTCAAAAAATTTATGATAATTTGGTAAAATATAAGCGGTAGGTCTTTAATCTTTGAATTGTCGAACTATTTTATACCTAAGGACTTGCGATATAATATTTAGGCACAAAATTATATACTTCTCCAAGTCGGCCAACTCAGACGTATTTGCAACAAATACATCTGAGTATGCCAAGATAGCTTAAAATAAGCTGTAGATACTAATCGAGCATATTTTTTTCTGGGATCGAGATATCTCTTGTTAAACATTCTTCATCTTCTTTAAAACAGAGTCAATGCTTCTGAGATACAAATCTCTGCAAATTCCAGCAGAATTATAAATTTATATGATACGGAAATAGTATATAAAATTCGGTCAAATCTTGCAATGGACAACATTTCAATTGATTTATCAATATTCTGAGCATTTCTTAAAGTTCTTTTCCAATCATGCAATAATTGTATATAAATGCGGGCTGAGGAGGTTTCCAAGTGCAGCCCGCAGATGCTTTGGCAACGCCCATCTAATTGAATGGGTAGTGCAGTCAGGCCAATTGATGCCACATCAAGTTGCAGCTGCAACAGTGAGCGCCACACCCATTCATGGGCACACATTTACAGTTAGCCAGTAAACGATGCCATTAACGCGCATAAACGAGCTGCGAGCTCTGCGCACGACGAGCCCAGTTACATATATATATATATATATAGCTTTGTAGTACATAGATATCATAAGAGTATATATACTATATATATGCTATATAGATGGGTGGTACTGCGGGTATTATTACTTTTATTACTGTGCCAAGTGCAGCTTACTCTCGACTCGATGCACGTTGCTCTCGCTTTCTCTCGCTTTCTCTCTCTCTCTCTCTCTCTCTTTTATATCGCTCTCTCTCCCGCAGCACCGAATTGGCAAACGAATCCTTTTTTTGGGCTGCCCAGCATCGTATTTTTTTTCTGCTCCTTCGTCCTCGTTTTTGTCGTCGTTTAAGTCGTTAGCAAAGTTTTTCATCGTCGTTTTTTGCGCCTTTTATGAGTTTGTATGCAACACGAAGTTGTTGCCGCTCGTGTTTGCGGCTGCTGCAGCTGCTCCTGAAGCGCATCACTGGCCTGCCAGCAGAATCCTTTATATACAAGTGCTTGTCTGTGTGTGTGTGTGTGTGCATGGGTGTTGTGCCAATTGCAGGCATTACATTGCCCAGCCTCTTTTTTTTCTTCATTGATAGGGGCTTCGCGATGCCCCACTGTGCGCAGGTTGACTTACTCTAATGTTCGGGCTGTTCCCAGGACTTACACATATTACATAAAAGTAGTACAAAAGGCAATATAAAGCAAATCTAGAGATTAAGTCAGGAACAAAATGGTATCAATCATGTAACTGGAACAGGTATAGACAAAATTATGGATATTTAAAGTCTAGGAGGGATAGTTATACAGGGTTTGGGATTCGATATGAAATAAAGGCAAATGTAGAGGCTAAATCAGGACCAAAATGGTATCAATCATGTAAATCGAACAAGTATTGACAAAGTTATGGATATTAAATGTACGGGATTTGTTGTCCTGATAGGACAATATCCCTATGAATCTTGGGATTTACCTTTAATGTACTCGCTTCAAAAGTATTTCAATTCAATCTAGAGCTCAAACTAGAACAAAAATGGTATTAATACCGAAAATCGGGCTAGTTTTGGTAAACTTATGAATGCTTGAATTCTGGGTGGAGAGCAGTCAACTTCAACTCTGACAGCAAGTTGTT